GAGAGAGAGAGAAAAAAAAAAAAAGACACAAAACACAAACTGTGTGTGTGTGTGTGTCTCCCTTCTTCTCCCCTGGCACCACGGCTTGCGGTGGAGATTCCATCGCCAGCTCCTTGTTGGAGGCCTGAACTTCCTCTAAAGGCCGGGCTGTGCAGCGAGCAGACTCAGTTCCGAGATGCTGGGTCCTCGATGGCTGCCACTGTTCCCACCCAAGCAGCCTGCCGCGCAAGTAGGTAGTACAGTAGAACCCAAAGCTCAGCGTGGCCCACACATGGCCCAGCCTGCAGCTCCGCCTCCAAGAGATCGGCACTACCCAGAGCTTGCGCCTTCATGGGTCGGCGGGCCGCGAGCATGAGGGTCTTACTTTTCCCAGATCTGAAGCATCTTGCTTCAAGTTCGAGCCGCGGTGCTGCTTTCCGCGGCTTTCTCCCCCCCTCACCCCGCTAGTTCAGCCTTTGCGATACGAGTTGAATAGCCCAGCTGCCTGCGCGGCAGAGATTGCTGAGTGGGCCTGCTTGAGCTCCCGGATCTCCTACGGAATGTAAAGACACTTTCCAGGAGTCTGGGCCTCTGTGACGCTACAGGCGGCTCCTCCATCTGCTTCTGAAAGATGTCGGGATGGTCGGCAGCACCTCGGAACGTTTAGCTGCGAACCACGCAGTCTCAGAGAATCCTCCTCCGAAGGCCAGCACTCTCACAGAGGTTCTGCAACTGCAGGAGCAATGACTGGCTCATCCTCGGATTTTTCCATGCGACATGACACAAACCAATAGTTCTGGGCAGCGTCTCATTGCAGGCGAAACACTCTTGGCAAATCTTGCGGCAGAGCTCGCGGATGTCCTGACCTCAGGTCACGATGCCTGTTTGCTCAGTTGCAAGCTCTGTTGTACACCAAAGGGCACATACTGCAGCTCGACACGGATGGTCACGACATCAATACTGTCTGAGCCTATGGCTGCGCCAGGTCATGACCGCCTGGCACGAGAAGAGCTCGGAAAGGGAATCGTCCCAAAGGTTCGAAGAGAAGCTTCAGATCAGCACAGTGCGGCCTCGGCCGCTTTCTCTGCAGCTTGCTTGGCAGCCTGCGCCTCGAGCTCCTCATCTTCACGTCGGGCCACCAGCAGAGCCAGCTCCAGCTCGCGGTGCCGATCTTCCTCTCGAGCCTCCTCCTCTCGAGCCTCCTCCAAAAGCAGCTCCCTCTCGAGCTCAAAGGGCTCTACGGGCTCCGCACTGCCTTGACCAGCGTGCTCCCCGAGTCCCTCTCGAAAAGTCTCCTGGGCAGCGCGCACCGCCGCCGTCTTCTCCGCCTCCACCGAGGCTCTCGCAATTTCGTCGACGCTCGCTGCGTCCGACAGGCCCTCTGCTGTCGCTACCGCGGCAGGGGTTCGAGCTCTCTGGACGAGTGACAGCACCTCCTCCCACGTCTTCTCGGCCTCCCAAAGGGAAACCTCCAAAGCCTTCTCCACCTTGTCCTCCACGGCTTGCGAGGCCGCGGCCTGCTGCAGGGCCTGTCTCAGCCCGCGCAAGGCCTGATGCCAGCAGTTCAGATCGAAGGCCGCCTTCTCGGGCTCCAGCGTCCTCTTCGTCTCCGTGGAAGAGGCTGCGACCCCGGTGGCCCCGGAGATCCGGCGGAGGTGCCCCGGCCCCGGCCCCTCCAACTCGGCTCCGGCTCTGGCTCGGAGGCTGTCGCTGCATTTGTCGGATTTGTCGCACCGTTTCGCCAGCTTCAGCAGCCTCAGACGCACCTGGGAGTTCCAGCACCGCAAGGCCTGAACGTGGCTCCGCAGTTTCCGCAGGACGCGCGACTGCTCCTCGCGCTGTGCATCTGCCCACATCTTCTGCGCTTCCGCTTTGGCGATGCGCTCGCCCTCGAGCTGTCGCTTCAGATCCTCCAGCTTGGAGAGCGCCACCTTCAGAGAGTCTTGGAGGCCTCAGGCTCAGGTGAGCAGTCTCACTCGCCGCAAACAACCTGACCTTGACTCAGCGGCGGGCCCCGTTTTCGAGCTTCGACTCCGTCAGTGGAGGCTTCCAGGAGCCGAAGCTCAGCCTGTTCTGCACGCAAAGATTCTTGGAGCAGCCGCTGCCAGACGCCATCCGAAGACCTTCCTGGCCCTGGCTCCTTGCAAGGCAAGGACCCAGAGCTGGGAAAGAGGGGACCCGCTTGAGCTTGAAACCCCGAGGAGTCCTCCGAACTTGTGAGGGCGAAAGCCTCCTTCACCGGCTCTCGAGTCACGCTGAGCCGGTCCTGCTGCCTGCTCAACACGTCCACTGCTAGCTCCAGTCTACTGACAGAGGCCTTTTGGCCTCTGCAGCTCCGCTGCCATGGCAGCCAGCTTGGCCTCGGCTTCCTCGGCGGCCTGGCCTCAGAAGAGCTTCTTTCGCTTGCCTTCGCTCTCCTTTTCCCATCTGCCAGCATGCAAGAGGAAGCATCATCCGACTGCCATCTCCGGAACCCCTTCGGGGTGAAGACGAGGAAAAGTGGGCACCACAACTTCGAAAACTGACACGGCAGGTTTATGTACAAGAGCCATACTTTCTCACCCGCACACGGCAGGCATGGGCCTCTCTTCCTCCTCGCCGCTAGCATACTTGGCAAAGCGCGGTCGCTCCGGGCCGTGAGCCAACGCACTTGACTTCCATGGCCAGCCTCCAAATTCCGTCGATTGGTAGTCTCGGAAAGCCTTGGAGATGTCCTGCGAAGATTTTGCCATGTGCACAGGCCTACTCATTGAAACTTGAGACCTCAAACATCCTCAAACCCTCCCGGCCAACACGTCCTCGCGGCTGTTGCCGACGAAGGGCCCATGCTGAACAACAGGCTCCCCGATGTCGCGGCCTTGCAGAACGAGGACTTCAATTGGCCCGTCCTCGGCAGCGATCTCGGTGTCTGCATCTGGGCGCAGCTTCAGACGCTTTTGGCCATGGATGACCTGCCCACCGATTTTGCTTTTCGTTCCGGTGTGAATGTATGCATTCCTGTTCAGCCCTGACACTCCGGCTCCCGCATAGGCTGGGAGCGTCCAAGATCCTTTGGCTGGGATCTTGAGCGTTAGGACCATAACATCTGATGCAGGATCCGACGCATAGGAATTCGGTGGCGGGGCCGGCGGCGAGCCGAACCCTGGTAGGGAGCCTGCGATCAAGGCGATTTCTGTTCCGTCGGCCAGGTGGACTGTTGCTAGATCCTCTGCCCAGAGCATCTTAAAGCTAGGTTCCACCATCTTGCTGCGCTTGGGCAGATTGATCCAGATCTGAAAGAGCTCCAGCACATTTTCTGACTCCTGGTTGAGCAAGGGGAACATCTCGGCATGGCTGATGCCAGCGCCAGCAGTCATCCACTGGACGTCCCCCCCACCAAAGCGCCCAGCATTGCCCAAAGAGTCGGTGTGGTCCACCCAACCACGTCTGGTCACCGTGATGGTCTCGAAGCCGCGGTGCGGGTGCTTCGGGAAGCCGGGGATCTCCTCCCCGTGGTACCTGAGAAATGCACGAGGCACGAAAAAGCGCGTGCTTACGCAGAATCTAACACAGCCATGTGTGAGTCACTTGCAGGAAGCTTTCTTGTAGTCTCGTGACATGTTCCAACCGGAGGGGTGCCCGAAGTCCGCACCCATCCGGTGTCCCTTCAGGGATGCATTTGGCGTCATGTCCGGTTTGCCGGGAGGGTAGCGGTCCAAGTGGTAGACGGCAAACAGGAACGGAGACTCGCAGTCGAAGGGGAAGCTCATGGCTTCTTCACGGATGATAGGACCACCTCTGGGGGCGGGTGCCCCCTGACAAGCAGAGAACATCGTGGTGTTTACCAGGCACCCCAGCAGCACGATACACAGAATTGGCCTACGGGCCTTCATGTAAGCCAAGGCTGCGACACTAACAGTCAAGCGAAAGCTGCTTCAGCACAAAGCAGCCCTTGTGAGCAGATTGCAGTGACACCCAAAACGGAAAATCCTAAACACGCCTGTGTCCGACAAGGGCTCCTGCAACAAACCTTCTTCGCGAAAACTGCAGACTGAAGCATGGCGAAGACTTGCACCGTAGTTGGAGATTTTGGGTTCTATATAGGTTCGCCTTCTTGCCTGCAATCGTTGTCCTCTGTCCGCTCTGACAACCGTGCAGCAAGTAAAACTGTTAAACGCAGTCGAATTTCGTGGATCGTACTCAGACTCAAGGATGCCTCGCTGCGGACTGGAGCCACCGAAGCCCCGGAGCAATCATTCAACCGAAGCCGGCAATCCCAAGTCCCCAATGAACCGCCCGGTAGAGTCCAAGCCTCACCATCGACTGGGCTCCGGGCTAAGGCCCTGCTCATCGCCGGCTTCGCGTGACACCTCAGCGCTCAGCTGCACGAGGCAGCGCTGCGCCTGGCACAGGCCGCCCCTTCGGTGCTGCCTCTAAGACGGCATAAATGCTACGGCTGCAACGAGCAGGCTGCCGCGGGCCGAGGGAAAACACTTCTGCAGCAGCAGCAGCAGCAGCAACAGTATAGATAGCGACGGCAGTCACACCTATAACAGTAAGAAGAAGCGATCATGACGTTGACAGCAAGCCGAAGCAACCACAAAGGGAATCCTTAGCATTACCTATGCGAGCGATCGGGCTTGGGCCTCCATCACGAAATCTTCCTTCAACTGTCGAAAAGTCAACCGTCTCAAAATCTCCGCACCTCGGCAGTGGCTGCCTCCCACGCACTTTCAAACTGCTCCCCCATGCGCCGCTGCTTCTGCCACAGCTCCTCAAGTCTGCTCGGCTCTAAACACCATGTCACGTCCTGCACGTGCTCCAAGCAATGGGAGTCCTGGCGCTCTGTCTCCACTCCGAAGATCTTCTCTTGGAGCAGCTTGAGCTCGAGCTGCACAGACGAGACAGACGGGTTTAACCGCCGCTTACTATCACATGCAGATACCACTAGTGGTGTGGCTGGGTGGCAACAACCACGAATGAACACCAAAACGGCACACCACGGCACACCACGGCAGCAGAAGCAGCAGCCGCAAAGACTGAGCATTCGCAGTGGCCAAAATCTGAATTCAAGCCCTGCCAATGCATCCTCCCACGGATACTTCAAGGCATGATACAATGACCTGCCTGCAAAGCTGCACAACGTGCGACAGCCTCGGAGCCAAGCTCCTCGCAGTTTGGGCTTCGCTTCTTCCCCAATGGAGCGTTTGGGACGTTTTTCACTGGTTGCCCGGTCTGCCTGTTCTTTCTGCATGCTTTCTTACACAAAGATTCTCTGGGCGGCTTGCGCACTGCAGCTGTCGAAGCACCCGTCCTACACAGCGTCCTGATTTCCTATATCCAGCACCCTTCCCTGGCCCATGGAAAGGTTCCTCCGAGTGGCGAAGCTCCGAAGTGCGCTGGGCCGCCTGACCTGATCCATAGCTCGTCTCACACACATTACCTTTTTCAATGTGAACTTGTGGTCTCGGTGCGATGAGGGAAGCTAGGTGTTCCCGAACATCATCCCTGAGATGGTCGAGGTATATGACCCAGTTTCAAATCGACGAAATGACGCCTGCCTGGATGCACTGGCAACTTTGCTGACGGACATCATGTGAGTGTCAGACTGGTGCATGCAATCTGCTGTCATAGCACGGATAAAGTGTCGCCCCGCATTCGAGATTAGTTGGAAAGCTGCCCACATGAAGCAAGGCAAGCAACAGGGACCGGGCGGCGGCAGTCCTCGAGCTCCTTGATGAAGGTTTGACGACCTCTGTGTGCGTGCACATCTGCCACAAATCATTCAATGTCGCTATATATGTTCCTCGTGTGATGCTTGACCATTTTATGCATCGGTCCCTCGTCAAGCATGCACAGGTTTCTGCTCGCTTTTTCGTAGGGCGTGATCGGGTTGTTGCTTTGCCCCGCGGCAACAACACATTTAGAGTTTTCACCGCGGTTGACAGGGATCGGGTGTGTCGGGGCTGCGATCCTCGCCAAACTGTCAACTGTCAGGGATCGATCGTGTGGCACGCCGCGGCAGAAACAAGTCGATACCTGCCCAACCACGCGGATACTATACGGAGCTGGTTCCCTGGTCTCTTCTGCACGACACTGAGAGACGTGCGCTGTTCCAGGTTCGCCGTGTCATTCCGAAGCGACTCCACCTGACAACTCAGTTCGGACTCGGCCACTCTGGGCCGGCGGTCTGGGCCTGCAGTTCGAGCTCGCGCTCCCTCTCTTGCAGAGACACCTCCACCTCCAATAGAACTCGGCCACGCCAGGCTGTGACGAAGAATCCGAGGCCTGCTCTGGCTGTGGCGGGTTGTGACCTAGCATTGGTCGGCATCTGTCTTCAAGCCGTCTGAAGGTCTGATCTACCGATGCCTTCGAGGCCCTTCACCAGCCGACGCAGGCGATCCCTTCGCAGCCTCAAACATGATAGCACAGAGGACCGAAACATCTCATATCCTAAGTCCTATAAGTATATCATCACAGCATCTCTCCTCTCTCTGCATTTGGGATGACTGGGACCTGGGCTGGGACTCGAGGAAACGGCCCCGGGCGCCCTCCAGCGCAGCCGAGACCTCTTGCGCCTGACGCTTGAAAAGCCCCAAACACCCAAGCGGCGCAGATCCCCAGACTTCTCCAAACCCATCACATTTAGTCGCCTCCTGGGTGCCGTTGAGGTCCGCAGCCTCCACTTGCCGGTGCAGGTGCCGGCGCCTCGCACTCGGAGACTCGGGAACTTCCGGGGGAAATCTCGGAAGCTCGGGGGCTGGGGGCTGCACTCTTCATGGAGGCTGCTGATCTCATTTACCAGGAGCTCGGCCTGAACGATATCACTAGCACACAGCGCAGCTCCAAATCTAAGCAACTCTTTCTTCGCCACTCCCTTTTCGAGTCTGAAAAAGCATGTGAGACGGATTCGCACTAAAAAATGTTCATGAAGCGGACGGTGTTGCTGGCATTGCACGAAGGTAGGCAGGGCCTTCGCCGCTTCGGACTTCAAGAAAACGAATGCCGGAGTCCCCTTCGATCAGAACGACTTGCCCACGAACTACGTCAACGCATGTGCTCCGATCTCCACCGTCCGACACACTCAAGGTGAATGTATGCTCTGGCGTCGGCAAATTGAACTCCTGCACGCTGTGGGGCTCCATGCGGGCTTCGTGGGAAGTGCCAAGGCAGAATGCAGATGTGCGGAAACGTGCAACTGCATCAGTGAGAGAAGAGTTGGCCATCAGTTCGGCACGGATGGCACTCTCCCGTTTGTTCACAAGCAGGACCGGGCATCGAGAATCTACACGGCTCTTGCCATGATGAAGTGCACTAACCCCAACGACAACGCCAAGTCCGAGGACGACAGCCAAGACAGGGCTGCTCCTTGCCGCTCTTACCCCCTCGTTGGCACAAGCGACAACGTCTTGAACTGCTTCTTTAACCTGAGTCCTATGACTGTAACGGCCAAGAGCAGTGCTGATGCACGCACACACACAAAATCCTCGCAGTTGTTCAAGAACATGTCGTACTGGTCTTCACCCAGGCGATTTCGTGCTGTCTGTTCTATGACCTTGCCTTGTTCTTCACTGTCCGGGTGCCACACCACATGTAGGAACGGGTAGGCTCGGCAGAACTCCTCAAAACTGCATTCCTTGATAATGCACTTGCCGTTTCCTTCGGTTCCGTCACAGGTATAGTGGATCACTTTTTGTGGACTGAAGTAAAGAGCATGATGATCAACGCCAGAGGCTGCGGCTTTGATGTGAGTTCCTGGCGGGAGTTGAAGAAACTCCAGCTTCTTGTGGTACTGGACCCATGCTTCCTCCAACATCCTTCTATGCAGTCGCAAAGCTTCAATTCCTGCGCACCACGCTCAAGTCTGAGCGATAAATTCAATGTCGGCACGCTCGATATCAAGTTGGCAGTGTGCAGTAACTCCGTGCGAGCAAGGTCACCTATGGCGATCCTGTAAGCCGTGCGGCTGCAGAGCTCCGTTCTGCTTTCTGAACTTTTGCTTGTGAAGACATGCTCCACAGCGAGGCTTCCCTGCACTGCCTAGCTACGCAAGCCCGAGGTGTGCCTTCGCAGTCTTCTCGAAATCCGAAGGCCTCGTGGCGAAGGCCACTACGAGAGTGGAGACTAGGCGAAAAGAGAGAGAGAGGGAGAGAGAGAGAGATAGAGAGAGAGAGAGAGAGAGCGAGGGGAGGGAGGGGAGAGAGGGGAGCGAGGGAGTCAGAGTGAGAGTGAGAATGAGTGTGGGAATAGAAACAAACAAACACAATTCCGATTTTCACGATTTGCTGCTGTCCTCAGTGGCGGTTGCCTGCACCAGCACTGCTAGGACGGTAGATTTAGCCCTGGCAGCCCACAGGCTCAAAGAAGAGCGAACGAATTCTAACGCCAACACGGGCCCAACTGGCCTTCGGCCGGAGCTCGTGTGATCAAGTGAAACCACTGAGGGCCAAGTCTGCAGCCTAAGGCGTTGCACCGAGCTGCAGTCGACCCAAGCTCGGGGACGATGCTAACTTCATGTCGACGACAGTGGGTCGCGAGGGCTGGCGACTGAGGTAGGACTCCTCACACAGCGATTCAACGGCACTGTCCACGGGTGCATTCAACCTAGCACGCGGTCCTCCTTTTGCTTCAAGAAGGTCCGAGGGAACAGAGACAGGTCCTGCGCGGGTCATTCATCTGATGTGTTCCGATGCTGCAGCTTCGGCACCAACCTCTACCCCGCAGTCCCTCAGTCTCACCAAAAAAGCCTGTTGCCCGACTCGCGGGATCAGCTCTCCTTCGTCTTCTGCGGTTTCCCGCGGCGAGCCTCGAAAGCGAACTCGGGGCTGGCGGCCTCACAGCGACGGAGCTCGAGCAGTGAATGGAGATCCATTGACGGATTCTACTGTGCTTGCGAACGGCTGTGGGTGCGGATAAGTGGAGAATGTCAAACTGCACGCGAGAAGCCGAAAAGCTAAAAGTTGCAAAAATACAGATTCTGCGCGAAAAACAAGAAAACCCGAAAAGTCGCAAAGTCTTCAAAAGTAAATCATTGCAGCGACAAGTAGAAAAGTACAGAGAAAAGCGAAAAGTCGAAAAGTACCGCAAAACTCGAAAAGTCCAAAAGGCGAAAAGGCGAAAAGTCGAAAAGAGAAAACACAACACCGCAAAAGCCGAAAAAGTAACAGGTGGCAGACATCTGAAGCATCTTGGCACTGCTTTTGGGTTGCAGAGAGCAAAGGCAGATCCAGGACAGTGATAAGGATTTCGGGTACTGGGGGAAGTGTTCTGGCCTTGGGGCCCATTAAGACTGAAGCCTCGTCAAATCAAAGCACCGGAAAGGCTGTAGGATTTCACTAAGTGTGCGATGTGTCCATGGCACAGGGAACTCGACGTGGAAACATCTGCATATGCTATGTGGGTGTATTAACAGAAGCAGAAGTATGGTTACACGTACACGCATGCGTTTCTACATATATCTGAATATACATACATAGGTGAAGGTATGTATGTATGCATGTTTATATATATATATATAGTAGACATATTGTATATGCACATGTACACCACTGGGACACTCTCTGGTGGCGCATTAGGCTGTAGCTTCGGAGGTGTTCGACTTTGGGGGTGCAAGTTCCGTACAGCAGGGTTTTCTGAAACGTGAAGAGACTAACACTGAACTTGGAAAACAGTTCTTATGAATCCCTACGCAGTTTCGCTATTTCGGGCAGTGAAAGACGCCAGATCGGCTGACCCGTTTAAGACCGTAATCACAACCCCTAAACCTCATCAACGCCGGTAGAAATATGTATAAACACGTCAAAGACAACCAGGGTTTAAACCCGAGTAGAACCAACAGAAAATCAAATTAACTACGTTTTCAAATCCTCACGGAAACCACTAGTGTTGGGGGCCTTAGCGATGTGAAACATGCTTCGGGGCACGATAGTGCGAGGAGCTTTGAGGACTAAAAGTACGAAGCGCCCGCCCCCATCGTTGAAGCCCTTTGAAGAGCTACAAAAACTCATTGGGAACCGTACAGCTCTAGACACGACAAACCAAGCTCTTTTCAAACCCCAGGACCCTTCAGGGATCTGCGAAACGAACCCCAGAAGGTCTCAAACATCTCAAAACTTTAGACCCCAAAACCCTGAACGAACAGCGGAACCCGAAGAGTCGAACACGAAGCGTCCAAAAAGTGCAAGAATGCCCGAAAAGTCGAAAAGCCGAAACGCCCAAAAAGTCAGAAAGTGCAAGAAAACCCGAAAAGTAAAAGTCGAAAAGCCGAAAAGCACGAAAAGTCCGAAAAGTGCAAGAACACCCAAAAGCCGAAAAGTGCAAGAACAAGCGAAAAGTCGTCGAAAAGTGGAACAGCAGAAAAAACCCAAAAGTCCGAAAGTGCAAGACAACCCGAAAAGTCGAAAAGCACAAAAAAACGTCCGAAAAGTGCAAGAAAAGCCGAAACGTCAAAAACCTTTCGACTTTTTGACTTTTCCACTTTTCGAATTTCGCTTCGGTTTTCCGCTTGTGGAAACCAACGCCTGCTTGCGTACTTAGTAGATTCTCACATCACCCTCTTTCAACTGTAAAGGCTCCTCGTTGGAGTTAGTGTAGCTTGAAAAAATATCGCTGTCCGGGCCCGCCGCGCCTGGATCTCCTTCTGAGCCATTTGCTGCTTCAGTTCCCGGAGCTCCCGCTCCAGCGCCGCACTTCGCCGCCGCTGCTCCGCCAGCTCTGCGTCGCCTCAGCGGTCTCCACGCCGTGGACGAGAGCAACGACTCAAAGACTCGAAGTGCGAAAGGAGGGGAAGCTACCCTTCCGGGCGCCAGAGAGCCCAAGGAGTTCCGGCTTGAGATTAAAGGAGACCTGAACTTCGCGGCTGAGCGACTTTCCGCTTGTCGCTTCTTCAACGCGGCATTTTCTGCCTTCAAATTGACGACCTCTTTACCAACGCTGGCCAACCTCCACTTCGCGAGGGGCTGGGCTGAGCGACAGATTCAAGAGACATGCAGTCCCGTAAGTCTCAGACTTCATGGTCGCCTTGGCGACTGGGCACAAATTTACTCAGTCCCTCGATGTTTCATCATGCGGCTTTAGGCAACTACGAGGTCGTTCTCCGTGATGCAGGGCTTCGCGCCCTGGTTGAACAGACCTGAGCGTCCAGGTGCACCTCCCTCCACCTTGGACTCTGAGCAAACTTGCAGCCGATGTGCGGGAGTCAAGATTGAGCTCCTCGGCGGTGCCGCACTGCCACTATTCCACACTATGCAAAGTCAAGACCAAAACAAACCTGCTCTCGTCTCGGACACCACAGACTTGGGCCAAGGAGCCTGTTGCAGCCTAGAAACGTCTTCGGCAGGTAACAACCTAAGCTGGTCGCTACCATGAAGGATGAGAGAGCTGGGCACCGCCTTGACGGCCATCGTTCAAGATCCATTGCTAGGAGAGCTTTTCGAGCGAATTCGGGGGTGTTGGGAAGGCTAAGGCTGGCAGTCAGCAAAAAGCTCAAACTCGAGTTTAAGAGCCAAGAAGCTGTCCCATCTGAGCCAGCATCCTTTGCAAAGCTGCCCTCAAATGGGCGACTTCCTGACCGGAAGCTCCGAAAAAAACACTCCGTCACTCCGAGACCTAACAATTGTTGGGCATGGCTCGGGATGCTCTGCAACCAGTGTCTCGAAGGACCACTTGTCCGTCGAATCTTTCTTTTATGGCAAAATCGCACCTTACCCACAAATGTCTTGCTGCATCTTGCGCGTTCTGAGTGTAGCCAGCGAATGTCGGCTTCAACTACTGTTCAATCCACAAGATCTGTCACCAGAGTAGCCACTGCACTTTTTGCACCGAGGAAATCGGGCGGGGAGACTTTCAAGAGCGCCTGGAGGAGTTGCTTTGTATCCCGACGGTGCCGGTTTTGCCACTCGGCGCAGCCGCCGCAAAGGCCGTCGGGCTGCGCCTGAGCTTCTTTGTATCCAGCTTCCATGTTGAGTCGGGTTTCATCTCTTTCGAAAAGCTGCACCGAGAATCCGAAGCCCCCTTCTCCAGAAGTGCTCACCCCGAGCTTTCTCCTCAGCACGCGCCTCGATGACTGATAGCGCCTGGCGCATAGCCAGGTATCGTGCCTCGCAGCAAGATCCACAGTGACCGCAAGCGAGGGCAGTCGTGGCAAGCAAGGTCGGGGCACAGAGAAACGTCATTAGTAGCTGAAGTCAGCACAGTTAATCAAAAGTCACGATATGACCATCTGCTGGCGGCTACAGTACGCATGAAACTTCACTTGCTCGGTCCACGCCTTCTGCTCGGAATCAGCCATGGCTCAAGCCCCAAGATGCTGCACTTCCGGAATGGTGCAAGTCCCTACGTCGAACAGATACCTAGAGTTAGAGTTTGGAGATTTGGACGAGGCTTGAAGTGCCTCCAAGGAGCTTCTGCACCAAAGGTTCAAGATGTCCCTTTGCAAGCTGTACCGGGCAGCCGGCAGCTGCATGTGAACCAAAAATCCAAAAAATGCTGGGAGCCCCTCGGGACGGCGAGCGCATCCATCTGCGCATGCGAAGCGAATATCAGCGGTGGGGGTCAGACAGGCAAAGGGGTGCCGCTTGCTCTGTGGTGCGGCGTCTCACCACTGCAGGCACCTCCTGGGCTCCCTGCTGTGTGGAGCCAGGAAGCTGCACAGAGCCCAGGAGGTTTCCATAAGTTACGCCCTGGCACGAGTCTTCTAGTTGGGCCGACCCCACGCGACAGGGGACCGCACCGGACCGCCGACCTCCCTTTCTGTGCTCTCCACGTCGCCTCACTCTTTGACGGAAGGTTCGGCTTTCAGAGCTGCACTCTCAAGGCTCGGGCCACCCAGGTCCAGCTGCTGAAGCTTCAGGCCCAGGTGATCAAGCCTCCGCAAGGACTCCAGACATTCAGAAGGCCCTGTGGCAGGATGACATATCACTGGGGGATGGCTAAACGGCTCTCAGCTCTGATTTTGATCACAGCGAAGAGACATCGCGGGCCCGTCTTTCCCGCCTCCGACGGTACACATTCCGCAAGGCCTCGGCAGTGGCGGCATTACTGCGAACTCCGCATGCTTGCATCTTGCACGGAAGCTTGGGCCTCCTTGTGGTAGTTCTTGGAGTGGTAGGCCTTCGGATACATGAAAAGATGTGGAAGGGACCAGCAAGGAAGTCCAATCCAAGGTCCAGGCAGGCTTGGGGCCATAGCCGTATGCCATGACAACTTAGGCTCGTCTTGAGCCACCGGACGGGGTTTAGAAGTCGTGGAAGTTGCGGTATGCAGCTTCTTCATTCCCGACCGTGTTACCGTGAAACCACGTGCAGCTGCGGTGCACCATGCGCCGCCTTTCTGGTCTGGCCCTTCGAACCGGCAATACGCGGATTTCTGAAGCGTGAAACTTCACATCCTAAATGCGTCGCGTCGCTGTCCAGCGCTATTCTCTGTAACTCTCAGATGCAAAAAACAGAAAGATTGAGACCGACGCGCCGCGAAGGAACGGTGATGCAGATCAAGAACTTCATGCCGTGACCCTTCATCACCCAGCCAGATTCGTAAATACGTGCAGGCCTTTACAAAGGCCGAACCGGAGATTTACTATGCCTCGCTGGCAACCAAACGCAGGAAAATAGGCTGCGCACGAGGCAGATTGGTAAGCTCATCATCTCGAAATAACCCACCTTCGCCAGTGCGGCCAAGAGTACGCCCTTCTTTGTGTTCATGTGTCTGCGGTCATCAAAAGTTGATAAAAGTTGCAAGCCTGTGGTACCGGGGCGTTGTGTAGCCACTGGCACTCGCACGAAGTAGCAAGTGGACAGCAGATATACCATTATGATCTTGATACACAGCTGGCTCGCCATCCAGCGATCCTGCATGGATTTCACGGGCTCGAGGGCTTCTGAGAACGAGCTTCTCGTGGAGGAGTGGTGACTTAAAGGGTTGGGAGTGATAGTCCGTTCAGCAGAGCTCAGCAGCCTCCCAAGCCGGACGACCACTTGGCAGCCGTCGACTTGTCCCAAAGTTTCTGCAGCTTGCCCTTTGGCAAGGCAGATGCTTTGCTCAGGAATCTTGATCCTTGGCAACCCAAAGCTGCGGTCGAGAACACTCGGAGACTTGGGGCGCGGCAGAGCCCGGGTACCGGCTGGAGAACACGCTGGCATCCGACTCCGAGCGGCGGCGACTGGGCGACCGCGCCTCAACAGGGAGCGCTTAACACAGATGAGTGTTTCTGAGTGTGTCAGCAGGTCCTGAATCGCTACTTCGGTCTCATGACAGATGTTCAGAATCGGACTTCTCCGAATGCGGGCGGCGACGATGCGACTGTCCTGCACTGGCTCGCTGCAAGCTTTATTGCAATCGCTCAGACGAGTTCAGCCTCGCCTGGGTGTGGCCTCGCAGGATTCCAAGCCATCCTCCTGAGCAAGGAATCGACTTCCACGTCCTTTGGACTTTAGAGCAACTCTTCGCACGCGTTGCACGATGCTCCGGTTAGACGAAGTCTTTCGTACAAGGAGACTCGAGTAGAAGCTTTAGTAGAAGCATGGTGCCAGTGTTGCCGATCTCCACGGACAAAGCTTCTCGCAACTTGCGCCTCCACCTCTGACATGGGATCTTCAGGCTCCGAGAGGAAGCCCTCACACAAGCAGGATCTTCATCATGGTTTCAAAGGCTTCTGGTCAGGAACCACAGTGAATTCCGACGACACGATACTCCGAGCCCATGCGGCATGCCTCCGTCATGTAGCTGCGCGCCTGAAGGGCTTCTGAATGCGGTACTCTGAGACTACGGCTGACGGCAGCCAAAGGCTCGGCAGGGTTTTCTGGGTGCACTGCTGGCTTCAGGGTCTTGGACTCTCGGATAGGGTCCTCGGAGATTCTCAAGATGACCTGCGCACGGCAGCGGCACCGCCGGAGGCATAGCACCCGAAAAACACGAGTGGTGTAACCAAAAACGCCTCCAAGCTGACAGGGCGATGGTCACTTCCCAGTTGCGAGTGGTTGACCTGGCCGTGGAGCAGAAGGGACTCCTCTGATAACATTCTGATCCGATTCCGATTGCCTCGTAGCCGCCCCTCGGCAGCTCCCAGCTCATACGATCATACAGCGCATCCGAGGCCCAGTAGATCACCCGGTCAGCACACGAGGGAAACCTGGCCACGAAGTGGGAAGATCGGGCGAGGAGCCATGGGATTCACGTTGCACACACACACACACCGAATGGTGCGAAACGCAGAAATTGAAGCATCTTCACTACCCTACCAAGTAAGTTATGCTGCAAAAGTGGGCTCCTGAAAGATCGGAAGTCCTTCTGCTTGAAGGCCTGTGCACGATGCGAGGCTTGCCAAATGAGCCTACTCTTCAAACGGATGCCGAAAGCAACCCAACCCATGATGCTAGTTTTCCTGGTGCAGGGGCTGGCTGCGCTACTGAAACTGAGCCGTCCAGCTGTCTCAATGCCTGCAGCTAAGCTCCACACTACCCCCCAGTTGTCCAGCCACTCCTGTCCCAGAGTCGCCAAGGTCCTGTCGCTTGATAGGTTTCCGGACAGCTTTTTGCTAAATGCATTTCAGATATCCCAGGGCGCTGCTGTCCTCTTGTAAAGACCGCCTTCTGCGCGCCTGAGGATCGGAACATCCAGCTATGTGTTTCGGGATAGCACCCAAGCCCTGTGGACGCATGAAATTCCGAGGCCTTCTGCCAGAATGACGGCACCACAGACATTCCAGGACCTGGTTGAAACTGAGGACCACACTTGCTTGTCGTTGTGGAGGTCGTCTTCGTGGTCTGAACCTCCAAGTCCGCAGTTTTCCAGGCAGAAGACTTCACCCCTTCAATTCTGAAAACGACTACTGACTACATAGACTGCCTTAATCTGTCCACCTGGCCTTGCTCAAGTCCGGAACAGAATCGGCTCGCAGTCGCCTTATCAAGAGCGCAGCTGTGTATCTGTTTGCGTAGAGACAGTGGAGGTTGCGGGACGTCAGTCTTGAGGCCCTGTCGCCTTGGACATCACATCACCTGAGATGGCAGAGGCTCGCATGCCGAATCCAACACTGCGCAGACCATGTCCGGAAAACGGGTCCGCAACTAGTTTCCCCGCCGACGAGAACGCGGCTCCAGAAAAAGAGTCAGGAGCCTGACACTACCCTGAGCGTCCTCGTATCAAACAACAGAGTTTCGCGATGAAAGAAGCAAACCTGCTCTGTGTGCAGCTCGTGTCTTCACCCGGCCTGTCTTCAACACGGTACGAGTAGCAGAACGATAGAGAGAGGCTAAATGTAGCCGACGGACCGAGGGTATTCTCACGACACCTTGACGATCAGACTGCCATCGACTGACTAGGGCTAAGCGGCGCTCAGGAAGCCTTAGCAACGTCTACCAACTTCACACCAGCAGGACGAGGACGACCACCAGCACTTGCCACTGTAGCGACAGTGCAGTCCTCCGACACGAGATCTGGCACACTCTCGGAGCTCAGTTCTGCACCTATGGTGAGATAATGCTCGCGGTCTGAGCCTGCCACAGCTGCAGCCAAGACTGACAGCTTGGGCACTCCGCTGGCGCTCTGCTTACGGAGAGCCCTAGGCCGTAGACGTCCAGACACACGATGTCCTCAACCTAGAGGCCCATAATTGCACGAGCGCAGCGGGGCCGAACCTGAATCCTCACTTTTGGGGGACTGCTCCGCACGCTCACGCCGGCGTGCGGGACCTCACGAACTCCAGTCCAAGCCAAAGCAAACCGCGAGACCGAAACTGCACCACCGGGGCACCGGCTGTTGCCAGTCTGGCACACCTTCTTGTTGCTGAATTTGTAAGTTACAGGTAGCTCATGCACCTTGGCACCACGCAGACAAGCATGGTGTGCAGCGAACCTGAAAGCACAGGACCCCCGGCGCTGTCGTGCGACACGGCTTCACGCCATCGCCCGGCAGGCAAATCTTCCAACTGGGCCAGAAGAGAGTGCTTTGCAATGAGCAAAGGTCAGCTAGCTGCTAGCTGTGCACTCCTCATCTCTTCCCTTCACCTGACCTCTGCCTCGTACCCGTGTCCCGTGCTAAGAGGCATGGCCTGCTGCTGAATTGCCGACTGCAGCGACTCGTCTTCCAGCAGCTCCAACAAGACATCATTGACCTCGGAATCGCGCAAAGGTCCGTGGTGAGGCAAAACGGCGGGCTCTCCGCGGCCTCGCCCTCCCGGAGCACGGTCCGGCTATTGATGTCCTGCCCCACACGCTGCTTCTACAAGGCCCCAGAGAGAACCCGGGGGTTTCTGCGTGGGATGGGTCCCCTTGCACGAAGATGATCGTTCGCTCGTCGGTGAGGCTCCTGAAAGAGCTGCATGAATGCTTGCTTCTTGGTGTCACTCCCTAATCTCACTGGCAATCCTCTGGTGAGCTTTGCGCAGCACCTGCTCAAGGACTGGAGTCGAAGTCTGCTTGACTCTATCAAACCCACAAAGAGAAGAGGTCCCGAATGTCACGCCTTGCGCAAGGTCTTTGCCAATGCGACCTTCGCTGCTTCCAGCGGGTCCTGTAAAGGGTCCTGGTGGTCACGACAGGCAGGGGACGGTCGCAGCCGACGGCCCGGCATCTGAAAAGGTTTGACGACCCGATGTCCTCCAGCGCTGCAGCTATCTGCGTGATGGGGAAGTGACAGCTGACGAAGCAGATGCGGATGCCTCACAGCTCGAGCATCACGTTCCGCATTGCAGGGCGGCCTCCGAAATGCCCCTCTAGGCCCGCCTTCCCCAGATCCTCCGGGCAGGATCAAGCTGCGCCCGATGAACGCCTGCAACTCCGGCAAAGCTCTGCCCTGCTGACTCACGAAAGCCGCGCCTTCTTCGGGTTCGGCACGGGAACTCCTCACAAAGCAGACACGGCAGTGGGTGGAGGCTACGTCTCACGGCCCTTGCCATGAGTGAACGCTCCTATGGCCCATCGGGGGTCCTCCAACCTGCCTCTCCGTCAATCTTCCGAAGATGCCACCAGACTTGTCCTGCTACTGCAACAATGATGTAGCTGCTTGACACATGACGAAGCACAAACGAAACGACATTCTGATACTCTCAGCAATATTCGAAGGAGCTGTTGTTGTGCTCACTCAATCCCTCATGTGTAGTACATCCCTTGCCACCTCCTGGAACTCATCGCTGCAGAAGGCGAGCCTGTGGCGCCCAGGGACTTAGGAGTCTGGGTTTGGGCAGGAAACTGCGTGGCCCTGAGCCGGGCGCATGGACTTTAAATTGCCGTTGTAACTGGCGGCAATACCTGCGGGGCAACTTCCCGCCAGTGCGCTTCTCAAGCTTTGAGCCTGAGCCCCACCCGACCAGGGCCTTCAACGAAGCTGCGGACCAGATTTCGTGAGCTGATGCTTCCCTGACAAGGCCGTGGTTGGAATGACGGCGGGCAGCTGAAGCGGTCACCTCGCGGCGGGCACTCTGCGTCAGGAGAGAGTCCAAGCGAGGCTTCCTCGGAACAGTGGCCGAATCGGCCGCGAAAGGTTCCCGCACTTGCACGGACCGTCACGGACTGGGGACCTGGCTGGTCGCCCGACGAGTACTTGGTCACCCAGCTGGTGAAGTTCAAACGGGTCTGGCCAGGCCGAGCTCTCATGCAAGGGTCGAATGGCTTCATATGGCTTCTTCACGCTTTCCTTTTTTGCGTTTGGAAGACACACCTCGCCTCGACGAAGGTGGCGAAGGAAACGTCCAGGGAGCGCCCATCTGCCAAATCTTCGGACAGGGCATCGCAAAACACGCCGCGCCCTCCTGGCGGTTCCAAGCACTGGCTCGGAGACATGGATCGGTCGGCATTGTGGTTTCGTTTTCACACGCTGCCCCCATCATCTCCTGGTCCAGAGAGTTCATCGACAGATCGGAAGTCAGAGTCTCAGATGAAAGCATTAATCGCCAGAGACAACGTCTCGGCAGCCATGCCAGCTGCAGAACTTTCCAAACTCTAGCGGCAATGCTGTGCTGCACTCAGGGCAGCTCTATTCCCCATGTTGAAATTGTAGAATCGGAGCCTCGCAGCAGAACACATTCCTGACACTGAACATCAAACAAGACAAAGACACACACACACACCCACAATGGTGCCTGTACTCCTGCCACGGCTTTGAAACATTTCCAAGAGAAGTGGGCCTGAGGCAGCTATGTTCCACATTCCAAGGCTCCTCACTTAGTGTGCAAGTTGCGCCTCATGCTACAGCTACAGGTGCTGGATCACACTAAGACCAGGTCATGGGAGTGCTATACTCCATGCCAGAACTCAAACTGCAAGCCCGCGAAATGCACCCACCACAGGGCACCGGGCAAGGACAGGCATCGACTTTGAGTCGGAGTGCCTTCCGCCGTGCACCATGCTGGGCCAATGTCTTTTAAAGCCCAAGAATCTTTCAACCGAGAATTTGCTCTGCTAAGAACAACTCTTCATGCCTGTGTTCTCATCCAGGTGCACGATGTCCGTAGTGTGACCTCGCGTACACAAACTGCCACCGTGAACCGTCACACTTCCGGATTTGGAATCACTAGGCCTTCAGAGATGTACTCGAAGCCGACCGTTCTGTCCTCAGAAGACATGCGCCGCAAGTCGGTCCGCTTACCCTGCTTCTGTGACATGCTGCCGGACGCTGGGTTCAATGGTTCAACACCCTTGACGCTCGCAAGCCAGTCTAGAGCTGGAATGAGTCCGGCCACAGAACCACATGATTCTGGAACCTCGATCCTGAAATCGGGAGCTTTGAGTATTTGTCGCGATTTACCTGTAGCCAAGCCAAGACCAAGAGATATCAGCCTGGCTGGCGAAGACACCGGGGCTCCAGCAACGGCGCCTACGCAGCAGTTCCTCCTTCGTCATACATGCCCCGTCTCTGAGAGTCTTCCTTTGAGGGGCCCGAGTCCACAGACTCTGGTCTCGGCTGGATCTCCCTACGATTTGGGGCCGGATCGAATCGCAATAACGACTGCTTCCTGTGATACATTGTGCTCACACGGTCGTTATGATGCATCACAGCCTGTCTTCCTGCCAGTCTTGCACACGACTTTACTAGAGGTTAAAGAAGACTGCGCAAGATCCTTCGCTCGCACAAGACCGCTTGCAGAATCCATCACCAGGCTAGACCGCGAGAGACGAAGAGGCCTGAAGCTGCAGTCGCCGGCGCTCGCGTTTCCCATCCTGGCTACGGCATGCTACGGCGTGGGTTTCCGGAGCCGTTCATGGCAATCAACCTTCCCAGGCAGAAGCTCAGAGGTGTCTCCGCAGACACGCAACGCCTGCAAGGCCAGAGGAAACTGCGGATTGTGCATCAGGGCAAGGGGCGTAGTCATGCGGCCTTCCATTGCGAGATGTGCTCACCCGGGCTCCGCAACCAGCTGGACCGCACAGCTGCAGCAGACACCACTACATGAAAGGAGGCGCAAATTGCACAACTTTGCCCGATCGCAGTGGGTCGTGCAGGTAAACGGATCCGAATGCTTTTTGCGTTTATGGGCACACCACTCCGAATGGCTCCGAACCTCCTAAGCTGACCGAGTACGGCCCAGCCCGGCTAAGCGGCTCAGACTCCTATGGCGTGACTCCTCGCACTCGCACTTCTTCCTGGCCAGGCCATTCTCAGCAAGCTAAGCAGTGCGAGGTCTCATGCGGGGCCTTGGTGAGGAACCCGGCTTGATCCACCTCCGTCCACTAAGCACTGGTCGGCCAAAGGAAGCCAGGTTCACCCCACTGCGCTTCCCTGAGCAACTTCCGGGCACCCGGGCTTCCTTGGGCACGTATTTGACCTCCCAAGCCATGGGGTCATAGTACACGTTGCGCGCATTGCCTGCACCATCGTCCTGCACGCAGCATACGTGCACGACAGTCCCACATGCCAGAGCCACAGCAGCCCTCCGTTCCTGCGGCTGCGCTGCTATCCACATCTTTTCCGTCTTGTGATAAAGCCATCCACGCTCGTACCTTTGCATGGACAAGGAACCATGTCAAGTCGAGACAAACTGAAACTGCAAAACGGCGCACAACTGCCACGCCGCAAGAGCCTTGGCATGCACGAACGATCTGCTTTCGTCAAGCCTCTCTTGCCCGAACAAGCACAGCACACAACACTGACTAGGAATGGAACTTGTTGTTGGTCCCTGGGCATACTGTAGAACATGTAGAACAAAGTCTCCAGGGAAAACTTCGAGAAGTGTTCCTGGCAGGTACAAGTATCTTTTTCCAGGATGGCTGATCACATGACCTCATCTCGCTGTGCTTCGATGCATGTCAACGATTGTCAACCCCAAATATTGCGGCTTTTCGCTTTCGATCAAACCTCATGGAAACCCGTATTAAATGGAGCTGGAAGTGGCAGTGGCAAGCTCCTGAAGCCCTAAGACGGGCCTGAGACCTGGGACTCAGCTTTTGTCGGAACGGTGAGGGCTGGCTTCTGGACTCTCGGCGTTTTCGAAACGAAGATCTCACACCATCACTGTTCCACCATCTCACTCTTCTTCCGGGAGAAAGGTACGACGAAAGCGGCGGCCGGCCCCAGAATGGCTCCCGCGCAAGAGAAGGGCAGAAACATGCCGAAGCAACCAGTTTCGGGCTCGGAGGGTTCATGAAGTAGCCTGGAACATCGTTTCAGCTGACAAAAGCCGGCGAAGATGCTGCATGAGGTTGCTGTCAAGCTGCTCTGAGGAAGATAGAACTCTGGCTCCCGGCGCGGCGGGGTGTCGTTCCTGCACCCATGTAGCCATGGAGGGTCATGGAAGTCTTGCTTCGGGAGGGGCCACTGTAGGAGACACAGACTGCAAGAAGCCCTTTCCCTGACAGTTTGTCATCACAGTCCTGCCAGTCAGATCCATACCCAATGCCAGGGTGTTAAGATGTGGATCTGACATGCGAACCACCTGCTCAGCAGCTCGTTTTCAATGAGGCACAGGATCTAGGGGCCCCCTGCCTCCAAGATCCCCACCATTCCAAACTTGTCGCGGAGTGCATGGGAAGCCTGGCACAGGTGCAGCGCGAGGTCAAGCACGAAGATCTCTGCAGCAGCCGGTGCCTGAAGCGTGGTGACGTAGAGGGCTTGGTGTTTGCGCTGCTCCTCAAATGCAGAGGCATCAAGGCACCTCCAGCATTCATCCCAGCCTATTCACGGCGCTCCTCCGGCGTCAGGTTCTCGGGCATCTGAGCTGGAACTACCTGCGCAGGAGATGGAAACTCGAGAGCAAGCCCCAATCCCCTTGCCGGCCTGGAAGGGCTCCGGTGGCGGGATTGCCTGGCCCTGGCGCAACTTCAACAGGGCAAGTCGCAGAGCAAAGCTCCGGCGCGCTCCGGCGCCGGACCTCTGTGACGGGCGGCGTGGAGTTTGCCCGTGGGCCCGGTGCCTGTGCTGGGGGCCTCGTGGGCAAAAAGATCGTGCCAGGTTGTTCGAGGCCAGGGACCGACCCTGTCGGTGGTTGCAGCACACGCACCCCAGTGGCAAGACCTGCAGACGAAAGCACGGGAAAGGTGCCGTGCAAACTCAGAGGAAGCGGGCCTGTAGCTACAGCCGTCCTTATTGCATGCACAGAATGCTCCACAGCGGATACTCTGTGGCGGTGCTTCAGTGAGTCCGTGGCGTCGCCTTTGGCATACCCATGCTCATGCTGCCCTGCCGATGTCACAGTGGAAAGACTTAAGTCGCAAGCTCCCTCGTGGAGCTTGTTTACCGCGCCTGTGTGGAAGAAGGCGGTTGGGGCGGAGGTTGCGACGGAGGCGGTCGCGACTGGTCGTCAGTCATAGACGAACATGCAGGCAGCATCAGCAGAGCAAGTCTTCAGAAAACGCGACCCGAAACCCCCCAAAGTCGGGAAGGAGGATTCGAAACCTTCTTTCCTTGCTCTCGCCGAGGCACCGGAAGGCTACTCGCAAGGCCACTCGCACACGGCCCGGGCCCGGCGGGGCCAAGCCCAGCCTCCCAACCGCGGAACTTACGGAAGAGGAAGGGGACGGAGGAGAGACGTCTCTCAGCTTCAGATCTAAAAAGGGTCAACGGCCCAAGGATTTTTCCAAGCCTGGGAGGTGTAGCCTGGTTGAACGCCTCAATGTAGACACTTTCTAGCTGCGACATGCTATGCCAATCATCCGAGACCGCCACCCGGATAGCCTCAAGAAGCGGCACGGCTGATGCATTGGATGGTGACTGGGGCACGTTGCATACTGTTGACCACTTGGGAGACCGCCACCTCTCCACTCCTGGCCAGGACTGGCTTTCACAACTCACTAAAGGACCGCCCAACGCTTCAAGACCGTCAGACAAAAACCGTGCATGTTGCGTGCATTGTCACGAAGAGATCATAAACCAAGAGAGTGCGAGAGAGCGCGAGCAATGAGGCACCTCTTCTGGGATGCCGTCAGGCCTGCGCCGGGCTTTGCGGACAGGAGACGCATCTCAGTTTGAAGAATCGTCTCAATGCAACCGGTGCAATTCACAGTGCGCAGGTCGGAGCACTGCGTGCAAGCTTCCAGTCCGGAAGCTTTTTCCGCACTTCTCCAATCCCGCGCCAGTTCTCCGACAGCTTGCAGCAGCCAGTTCTCGACGTGTGCTCAGCAGTGCCGAGTCCATCTCGCAGGGCAGCCGGGGGCTGATCACGCTCCGCCTCAGCTCCGCCTCGAAAGTCTCACATGAGGATTCTCAGATGATGAGCCGTCTGTGGCTCACTGTCCGCCCGCGATGCCGAAGTCCGGATCAATTTCATCCACCTCGTCGTTGAACATGACACGTGCCTGAGTCCCCAAGGGCACAAGAGACAACCGTCCAGTGAGACTCTGAAACCATTCCGTGAGTTGCTCCCGGAGGCAGCTTCCGTCGGCGCTTCGCCTCACAGGAACGTGGCGAAAGCCCAGGAGTTTAGCGGCATATCATCTATCGAGGGAGTGCAGTGATTGCATCCACTTGCCGGTCTAAGCACCTGACCGGAATGTCTGCGACGTCGATGGACACCGCGGCACCTGGGCTCGGCTCATGCCCCGCGGCGCATGACGACATGCAGATGCTGTCCCAGCAACTCGGGATCTCATAGCGACTTGGAGCCACACCCCGTTTTATCGGAGGAGACCGTGCGAGGCCTGGTGGGGGCGTCTCTGGAGAATGCTCGAATGCAGTATTGGATTGCTCAAAAAATCTCAAAAAGACAAGCCTGCCCTTTTCGCGTCTTGAGAGTCGTCCTTGTCCTCCTCAGTCTCCTCCCCTCCACTCAGCTCCTCTGAATGCGCCGTCGCGACAACTGAAGACCCTGTGCGAGCGGAGCTGTCCTGGAGTTGCTCTCGTGACACCCAGGACTCAGCTGTGGACCGGCTGGATGAGCTGACTCTTTCCGCGCTACTGCACGGGGCAAACTGGGCGGTGTGAACGCGCTCGTGGCTCCAAGCGACCTCAAAAGCTGAGAGCCCTGCTTGCGAGGCTCGCAGTCAGGTATGCCCTCGCGGCCTTTTACACCCGGGACCAGCCCCGCTTTGGGATCTGTTGGAAGGCTCCTGGTATCGCCCTCCATGGCTGTAAACCAAGCCTGTCCAGCTGAAGAAGATCTCTGAAACAAATGAACTGAGTCTAGTTAACAGTCGTGGGGGGCAGGAGGCTGCAAAAAGAGTGGTCTCAAGTGTCGGTTCCCCAATGTCTTGCTGCTGTCCCGAGCCGATCTGCTTGACAGTCAAGCATGATGCTTCTCGACCAGTCTATGAAGGCAGGAAGCAGCGGCAATACGGGATTGGCGCACCTCTGCATGATCGACAAGGGGGCGGCTTCTACAAGGCTGTGCTGTAGGTTGTGAGGGCGATACAATCAGAATGATCGCGGGGGAGTCAGTCTATCGACAGAGCAAACCTTCACAGGATGCCGTAACGCATGTTGCCAAGATGTCACACTCTGAATAGAGCCCCTGTAAGCGGCACAGCAATCAGCTACGGCAAGACATCGAAGAGCCCGTTCTGTCGACTTAGTTGTCGAAGCAACGATTTTTTGGAATTCTTTGGAACTCGCCGATATGGTGCCAGCTTGGCACGGCACTCACCACTACGTACAACTTAGCAAACAGCGGGAGCATGTGTGGGACTTTGAACCTACTCCTTCACCTCACCCGCTTGCTCTGTGAGCATCCTCATGGAGGTCCGGGCTCGTCATATCTCTGGCCGCCTTCCTGCGAAGCCTGGAAAGATTGAACTCTTGAAGCGAAGGGATCACTCTCCGCTGCGCTGCTCTGCACTGCTGCCTGGAGCATCTTCTGGAGACTCTGCGACTCCGCCCACAGCTTTGCAGCCTTCTGCCTGGACAGATCCGACTCCGCAGAGACGAAGAACACAAGCAGCACAGAAGCAGCACAGGGTCGCTCCCCGCCTGCAGTCGTCGCAGTCCTTCCGAAGATCCGTCTCAGCGGCCGAGCGCGCGCTGCGCGATGCCGCAAACTCTTCTTCCCTCCGCTTGGCCAGCTTCAGCGCTTCGGTCATACGCTGCAGAGCCAGCTCCAATGATGAGTCGCTGCCGGAGCCAGCCATAGTAAGCTTTTCGGCATTTAGATATCTGGTCGGAGGATGTCGACATCTACATATACAATCCGTAGTTCTCATCAATGCTAGTTATGCCATTATGCTGCTACTGGCATGTTTAAGGCACCCTTGGTGTGGGACAGCTGCGGCTTGGATACACACGCTTGCACAAGTACCTGCACAGTCTGACAGTGCACCACCTCTTCCGGAGGTGCAGTCTTGTTTCTGCTCTTGACAGCACTCGTCGAATGGCCACCACTGTCGTCTCCAGCTTGCTCGGCGGCAAGACTGGGACACACTGAGGCAGCCGGCGTTAGCCTCCTCTCACAGCAGCCACGGATTGAGCTATTCAAGTTTTCGTAGATACTGGCAGTGTGTGACTTGCTTTCATGCTCAAGCCGGAAAGACACTTTGCTTGCACACGGTCATGGCAAGCCGGACAGATTTACACGCTGTGCGCCGCACGAACTTTCAAAATCCATGCAGCGAGCAACCTACAGAAAAAGACGCCGATGTGAAATTAAAAAATGTGGACATCCTGCCGGCAGCTCCGACGACGTCCGCATGGCCAAGGCACAGTGCGAGAAATGCACGTGGTTGGAAGATGGGCTGCCAATGCAGCAACCAGCCGTCACCAGCCCACAAGTGCCAAGAAGGGCACCATCATGTGATCTCAAGCTGCATTCTTCTGCAAGCTTAAGTGGTTCAAGCAGCGTTCTGCAGCTTTGACAGCCTGTACAATCTCGCTCCCATTTGGGGATCCTGGCTGCGAGCCGTGGGAGCTGCTCAGGGCCCGAAACTCTTCCAGATGTTTTGAACATGAAGCCTCAGAACCGGGGTTACTGTCGGCACCCTGCGCTTCCCTGTCCATGGCACTCTCGGTGCAGTACTATGGTGAAACATCTGTGCACAGCATATCACGCGTCCAGCAACCGACAAAAAGGGCAGGGCAGAATATGCACACATGATCGAGAACCCATGCAACAATCTACAGATCGGAAACGGTGCATACATAATTCGCAGAGAGCCTCACAGAAAACGCAGAGCCTCTGAACATCTCATCGTTTCATGCCGTCCTTTGGGGTGCCAGCTTGCAGAAAGACTTGCAACCAGCGGACCGCAGCTAAACATGCTGAGCTTGAGCTCGAAGGATGCTGGGTCTGGCACCTGAGGCAGAGGTCCAGGTGTCCATCATGGTGAACAATCTGCCGCAGGCACTTCACCTCACAGACTTGGACTGAGAAGCTCAGCTTGTGCCGAAGTGTCCTGAGGCCCCCTACAATGACTGCATGCTGCTTGCGCAGTTCCTCCACGCCTGGTCTGTCCATGAACCTCGACAGCCGTCTCTGCCATCGCTTTTACTGAAAATTTCCCAAACAGCTGCAGGCCCAGCTTTAAATTCTTCCTTGTCGTGTCCGGCATGTTGGCCTCAAGCTACAACGAGACTGCAACGAAACCCTCGCCCATCAGATCAAATCTGAGCCTTTAGCAGTGGCCTTGATCAGGGCCTCCCGCTCGTGGCCACTGTCCCCGAAGGACAAGATGTTCCGCCGCCTCTGGTTTTCTCTGGCGGCTCGAGGTATGCCGGGTATGCTCTGCAAGCCTGGTGCGCCCGGGGCTCTGGAAGACCCGTCCGATCTCGTTGTGGAAAGCATGCAGCTTCCACTGGCATGCAGCTCTGAGCTCAGAGAACTCTCAGTGAGCAACTCTTCACAGAGCCTCAAAAGGCGTCGGAACCAGCTCGCTCTCGTACTGGGTGCGTGCTGACAGCGTCCGGACCTCGGTTTCAAGATACGAAAAACTACCTCTCGCCGAATGAACTATGGCCGCAAAAGTGAGCGCCCAGGCGAAAACGAAAGCTGCACGACTTGTTTGAAGCATCGCAGATCAATTAAAGTGCATGAACCAGAGCCCATCAAAGGTGCTAAACCTGAAACCATGCTCGCGAAAACCTAAGCAACCACCCCTTCTATTTGCCGCAGCCGAAGCACGCAACAGCTGCATCATGCCCGCTCTTCGCACAGCCACCCAAAAAAAAGCCCACAACCGGCACCCGCCCACACTCCCTATCGTCTAGACCCCCCAAAGGCATCTCACTGCTACGACAATGCAACGAGAGTTCATGCTCCAGCACAGGCCCCTCAAGTTATCAGGCGCAGGCCAGTGCCAGGACTGGCAGCAGCTCGGGAAGAAACCTCTGGCAACTAAGCTCCACCTGAGCGGAAGGGATGATCGTGGTGTTTAATGATGTAACCCATCTTCCAAGGACTGACCAGCAGTTCACATAGACTATAGACTCCTATAGACTATAGATACTCCAAACCATTGTAGCGAGTGCGAAAGCCACTCATTGAACTGACCAGCTGTCGTTGTGCACAGCTTCCTGAAATAAACGCGAATGTTATGAACCTGTCTACCACTCTCTGCTTGGACCGTCCCAACAGGCAAAACATGCAGAGATGAGAGCCCCGCCCAACCATGCTCGGCATTGGTGACGAGTAACTTGGCTTTGAGTCTCTTCAAAGCCGTACACGCATCGTGAACACAAGGTGCTGGCCACAGTGCCCAGGCGCATGGCCTCACCAAGTCAATGCTGGGACAGCCCCTTAAGAAAGTCTCTGGCTCCCAGCCAGAGTCAGTGTCTGCGTCGCCAGCCTCGCCCGGAGGCAGAACAGAGACAAAAAGAAACGTGACAAGGCCGCCCGGCGCCGGACCTTGCCAGCTCGGAGAGCTTCGCCTGCTCCCGCTATCCCGACGTTTTTGTTTCCATGGCCGTGAGACAAGCGCACCGAGGGCCGATCCTGTTGCTCTGGCGTGAAATCCTGGCGGGCTGAAAGCGTCATCTTTCAGGCCGCTTTTTGTGTGACCCGAACTCCAACGGTCCCAGGTCCTCGCCCTCAAGGCTGAGCCCCTCCTCCATAACCTCAGGCAGAGGGCGACTCGGCAGCGCGACTCAGCAGCTGGTCGCTGGACCAAGCTCAAAACCCACGAGGAAGGCATCACCGTGTCATCCCAATCGAAGATGATCAAGGTCTCCTCCAATGAGCGCCAGAGACAAAGAGAGCGGGGTCCACTTAACGAGCACCGAGGCTCCTCGGCGGAGAATTGATGCCGGCCCTCCACATCATCCTCGACATCACTGTCCTCCTTAGCGGAAAACATGTCCAAGAGGGAGCGCTTTTTTCACATTTCAAGGATCTTTTATGGCTGACCTCCTTCGGGGCGAGCATGTCATCAGCAGGCCTGAGCGGTCAAACCATGCACGGCACTGCGAGCCTGGTGGCTGGTCCAAGCGTCGCGCATGCGCTGGGGGCAGACGGGCTCAGCAGCCATTAACGCCGCCATGGCGTCACTGGACAACTCGCAGAATCTTCAAAGTGCTGAAGGAAACGTCTGAACACATGCTACTGGGGTGAATGATGGCGACCATCTGCAGAGTAGAATACTTGCCAGCCTGCAAGGCACCGGCATCGGGCATCCCAAATCCGGCACACCCTTGGCAGTCAACCATTCCTACCAGTACATGTCACAGAAGCAGAAGTGATCAATACCTCACGGCGAATGCTTTTTGCTGCACATCTGGCACGTGCTCAGATGGAAACTGGCCTGGCCTGTAGGGTTTACGAGCCTAGTTCGATGTGTCGTTAGCACTTTTGCTTTCTGGAAATCCGGGCGTGTTTCCACGTGCCAGCCTACTGAAAGACAGGCGAAGCCTCCCTTTGACAGCATACGCAAAGAAGCTGACAAAGGGGGGGCTGCCTCCAGGAACAAGAAGCCTCTGCAGGCGCTTGGGTCAGAAACGAAGCACCTTCAGGAAGGCTGTCCACCTAGGCCTCCTTTGTTGGTGGCTGCATGCCCAACGTGACACAAATTGGGAAGTTGCAAAGCCGCCAAGCATGCCACAAACAAACCTTCAAATATGCCTCCGCTTGCAGCAACATCCTTGGCTCAGCGTCTGACCAACTTATGCACATGATCATGCCACTGGCGACTGCTCGTGATGAGTCGAAGCGGCCGAGCTGTCGCATCTGCAACTCTCTCGGAAGAGACGGCATTTGCCAGACACTCTCGCAAGCCAAGCTAGCACATGTCCGGGTCAACAGTCAGCCTTAGCTACGGCCTGCAACAGTCACATCTGAAGATGCGATAGCCAGACACCTGTGCTGCCTGTGCTTGGACGCCAGTCAGACGCTTGGCAGCATTGACTGGTGACACCTCGGGATGATGCCAACTCAAAGACTTCCCAGCTCAATCTTGTGCGATCTCGGACATCCAGAACGAGACGTCACGCGGCGAGTGTGAGGCATACAGGGCTAAAGCCACATTGAAGCAAGACTTTTTCTGACATCAGCGCAGGTGCTTTTCACACGGCAGAGTCCAGTCAAGTCGCAATTCGCGACTAGTGCTGGGAAAGCTGCACACACCCTGTAGTCAAGTTCCAAATGTGATCGGGGCAGAAAAAGGCCCACGCGATTTTTGCGCCGGACCAAGCAACGCAAGCGATGATTAAGAGCAGCAGCGGGAGCCCCATGCAGCCGAGCATCTTCATGCTGTGCAGCGCACGGTGTAAGAGCAGCGTGGCTCCGAGGCAGCATCCGAGGATCACTTTGTCCTTGGCACCAGCAGCTTCTCGATGGAATGCCAGGGCCAGAAAGGAGCTCTGAATCCAGAGCTGCAAGCATCGACCCAACAAAAGCTTACCCAGCATCAGCAGCATAAAGTGAGCACTTTCCGAAAAGTGGATGTGAGCTGCCAGGTTTCGATTGAAGTCCTCATACATGACTGCCGTGTCGGGATCCAGTTTATTGCCGAAAGCAGCAGCACCTTCTCCTTCTCGAGCATCTTTTTCTTGGCTGTGATCCGCGAAATGGCGCTTCTGGTTCGCCATTTCCTCGGCGAGCATTGCCACGCTTGGCATCAGCGCTGTCTCTGCCGCTCGTGCCCAGGCCACGAAATCCGTACCAGTGGCCTGGCCATCGTGGCTGAAGGGGATGCATAGCAACAGGCCAGCGACACCATTCACGAGGATGACTGTTGCGGTAGCAAGAAGCGCAAAGCCCCAGAACCTTACAGCTCTTACGAGGCTGGCGATGGATTGTCCCACGAGAGGGACATCGCCCCATGCCGTGCCCCAATCCTCTGTGAGGATCTCGTCACATGCACGCGCAACGAAGGGAAAGATTGCATCAGTGAAAAGTATAAAGCCTTCACAGAGTCCCAGCAGCAAGAGCCACTTCCTGTGCTGCAACACTCCGAAGTGCTTCAGGATCACAAGCTCGGGCTCAGACACCAAGGACTTCATTGCCGACCATGCACAGGACTCGGCATACAAGTAGTGAAGCTCCACCAGAAATAGTGGAAGCAAACTGATCAGGGAGTAGCCCTGCGAACAGGAAGCCCTGAATTGCCTTGGCGCTAATGATTCCCAGCCATACAAAGCCAGCGGCAACACCACCCAAGAAAGCAGAGAATGCCGAAGGAATTGGGTTCGCAGAATTACCTGGACACTTTTGTCAAGCTCCGGCTTAGGATTGCCAGCGTTGCTTGCAACCCGTGAATACCCATCACGTCTCATGGCACGGACATGCCAAGATTACAGCCGGAGATTAAAATTTGCTGCTATCGAAGTCTCAACAGGATAGAGCTTACGCCTCTTGATACCGTCCTCAACGTGAAACCTCCTTCTGCTCCTCTATACCATCGTACTGTCATTGTGATTTTAGCAGAGTCAAGCCAGCTGTCGGCCCGAGCACTGCAACTCTTCACAGCGCATGAGCAAATCATAGCAACACTCACTGCAACCTGTCCTGCAGCCTGCAAACCCTAAAACCCAATCCGTGCTGCGACTCGAAAGGTCTCGTCGGCTCAAGCACCCCCAGCGCTGTGGCTCTCACCCTTTCCCGACAGCCCGACTCGCTTTGAGGGCTCCGAAGTCGAAGTGGGAAGATATGGAAACTCCCAAGCGCAGCCTCCGTGGAGGCCTGGGCTCCGAACTCAGGCAGCCAAAGCCTCGCGAGGCGAGCCGCTAGGCGGCGAGCCGCGGGCAGAGCCCCTGCTCAGGGTTGGGCATCAGGGCACTCGAAGCACAATCTACCGATCTGTAGAAGTCCTCCAAAGACAGAACCCTGCCCCACCTCAGCAAACTGCAAGTTTGGAACGTCTATTTAATATAGCTGACGGGCCAGGGCCTCAACCTCCAAAAGCTTCGAAGATCTCCAATGGCCATTGACTTGTCACTTGGCCTGTCCGTGATGTCCTCTGCCGTCATTCGGCTTCGCTGCGATCTGCTCGAGTGCATGGACCGTGCCTAGGTCAAAACTCTCCAAGCCAAGACCTCTCTAGCTGACAGAACTACTCGACTCAGTGTGGGGCTGTATGAAACGACCTGAGTCAATGCAAGGGTCCTTGTTGTTCTCATGTGGTGGCCGACGTCCTGCCTTGCTGTGGAGGGGGTGGAGGGAGGAGTGCTGACGCTCTCGCGCCTCGCAGCTTTTGTGGCGTTCGCTCTCTTTCTGCTTTGCTGAATACCAAGACCCGGCCTTACCAGGTTCAGGGGCAAACGCAGGGCTCGTAGCAGATCCGGTCCAAAGCCTGCCGCAACGGAGCTTCCGAAGCTGCTGTCGCATGCTGTCACATGCTGTCGCTTCTGGCGTCTCCAACCTTCGTCACCATCAGAACCTGAAGCTGCCTCGGACCTTGGAATCGAGTCGGTACGCTGCACGTGGCCCTGGCTGAAAGCGAGCTTCCGGCGGAGCTCCGCCATCGGGGCGCCCAGGTCCCATCAGGCACCTTGACAGAAAGGCGTAACCCTGAAAAGCTTTCGGCGAAGCACTCCGGACTCCGACGGACTCCGACTCTGCAAGGCTCTGCGAGAGCCGAGAGCGGCACCAGTAGAGCACGGCCTGTCGCGTCATCAGCTCCTCCAACGTCTTCTCATACGCCCACATCGCCCATGTCACGGTCTGTTCTGTTCCTGTCCCGAGCTTGCCTGCTCCCACTCCGTCACCGGACAGTCCCAGGTGCTTACCTCGATTGTGCCACTGTCACGCAATCCGCATCAATCCGCCTCTGCGACTGTACCTGGACCTTGCCTTCAACCGATGGTTGTAGTAGTATTCGCCCTCCTCCGCGCCATAGGGGCCACTCCAGTCCTGAGCAAAGCCGGTCCTTACCCGCCGATCTCCATCTACGCCGCTACGCACACCCATCATGCCTCGAGACAGCGCAGTGCCCGCTGGTGGACCTCGTCAGCCATCACACTTCATGACGACACGCAAAGCGAGCACCGGGTACTTCGGAGATCCCCACCTCACGGAGATGGTTTTGAACCAGGGCGGCGCAGCCCTCGTAAGAGGCCGACACGCCAGACTGGCACACAGCTAGATGAGGAATCAGACTTCAAGAAGCCACGCTCCGACAGACTTGGCTATGCAGGCAAGCAAGTGTAACTCACGGTCGGGGCCTCTCGTGCTCGCTGAATCACATCTGCGGCAAGCGATACAGCGATTGTGGGACATGCCATCACTCGCAGCTGCTTGTTCCGATCAAGCTCGTCTTCGATGCAGCTCCGTGTCACAAGCGTCTCGTTTTACTCGGGGCCGCCGGAGTACTTTCCACATTTCACAGCTGCAACAGCATTTGCCAGATCGCATGATGGATATCCACACCCAAACTCGGAAGCATATGGGCCGAGCTTTGCCGACCATGCTCTCAAGGGCGCTGTGGGTGACACTGGGCACTATGCCGAAAACTCGAGGGTGGAAGCTGTTGCAGCACTGCTTTGTTTATCAGCCCTGCCCTTTGACAGTATGTGCCCTCGCCGTGCACTCTTAGATCGAAATGCCACTTGCAGGCTCAAACTCTGCCCCTTGTTCTGAAAGTTGCTTGTAAGCCTCTGCGAAATCCTTGAAGAAAGCAGCCTGATCATCCCGGTATTGCACAAAGTATTTCTTGAAGCTCTCATCTTGGTGAAGGCACCGGTCCGATGACAACCAAAGCAGATTGGCATCTTTCTCTTCATAGACGGAGGGCTGGAAGTATTCGTTGTCAAACTTGAGCCATTTTGATGTCCACGACTTCCCACCCGGCATGCCAACTCCTCCTTTCCCGTCGTGTCTGATGGGGCAGGATGCTGGCAGGGCACGCGTGTAAGGGCAGCCGTTCGACTCACCATAGCCCTCTTTGACCGTGCCGCTTCGCTCTTTGAAAGCCCGGCCAATCGTATGTGCCCCGGACAGCGCAACGATGCCCTTGTCATCGAAGCCCATCCTGGAAACCATGCCCTTGCACACCCTGCAATGCCCTAAATTTGTTTTACAAAGTCTTGCAATAGGCTCTAATCGGCGACGACACTCGCAGCTCCTGTAGAAGATGTTCCGTAGGTGGCTTGCTGCATCTGTGGCCCCGCAGCCAAATTTGCCCTCGGGCCCGGGCTCGGCATCAGGAAGCCCGGCGTTGTCGGCCGTACCTGCCAGGAGAGGCCCTCCTATGGCCTAACCGGTTAACTGGGGCCGGGTCAAGACATGTTTACTCGCAAAGCCTCGAGATTGACGGCCAGGGCATGCTTCAGGACCCGTCGCGTCCTGTAACTGCACAGGACTCCATGCCAAACACCAAGACAAGTGCTCCGGTCCTTGCGACCATACTTCATCTCTATCTTGGGTCCACCAGCATGCTCAATGCTGACGGCCGCTGCCATTTGGTAGAGGTCCGCATACGACACTAAGGGGTAGTCAGCCTGGACCCGGGTTCTGGGCAGTTCTCACCGGCCAGCAAAGGCCCTTCCCTGCCTTGAAGGGCTCCAAGTACTTCACTGCTTTGTCCAAGCCGTTGTTGGCCCCCATAGTGATCTCCGGGGAGAAGCGGATGGAGCCGTTGGCGCCGCCCCTGTCTCCAAAGTCGCTCTTGGACTTGTCGTAGGTGCCCGCATCATGCCAGGCTAGTCGCAGCAGGATGGGATTGCAATTCATCTTGTCAACGAACCTGAGCCCCAAACCCCCGGGAGAGACACTCAGCCCTAAACTTCGACCCAAGTCTTGCGTGGACGCCGTGAGCGTGCTACACGAATGACGAAGGCTAAGATTCAGACTTCCAAAGGTCTTCCTTCAGGGCCTTCAGCTGCCCGGCATGGTCCATCCCTTCACCCTTAGGCTTGCCACCGATCCTTGCAGCACTCTGCGACGCATAAAGCTTGCCCTGATGCAGCATTGTTCAGTCTTATCCCTGCTGCTTTGCAGCTCACCGTCCTGTCAAGGACGCCGGCAAGTGCCGCCTTGTCGCCCTCCAGCGCTGCCGGCGGGTAGCCCAACTCGGCACAGCACTCGGCACTTCGCCTGAAAACCTCAAGGTCCCCGAGCCCCTCCGCACCAGTCCGAGGCTCATTGGACACCAGCTCGTCATACGTCTTCAGCTGCCGGGCCTCAACAAACAGGGGCCACAAAGCTGCGGTCCTTTGCATCTGCGCGTGCCTTGGCCAGGTCTTCGATGTCGTCGGCTTCGAAGGGAAGGCTTTTGCAGCAGCCCTTCTCCACACCTTGCAGTCTGCAAAGGCTAAGGCTTACAACGCAAAAAGTGGGTCAAACACAAATTCTTGGGTGAGGCACCAAGAGAGTTCAGCGTGTGCGACAAAAGCTTTGGCTGTGGCCCGGTCCGGATGCAAGTGCCGCATCCGGTACCGGCTTTGGTGCACTTCTTGATGTCCTGCGAAAAGGCCGCACGGAGGTGCGGAGGATCGGGGAGCAAAGCACTCGAAGTCTTGTGGAGCAACCTGGGTGTCTTGAGTCCTCGAAGGTGTGAGCGCCGCCCTTGATCGCGTCCCGGATGACCTTCTTCGGAACAGAGTGACAGTTGCACACCAAATCCTCATCTCCGAGGTTGGTCCCATCGCCGCCATCATCGACCTTCGGCATCTTCCCAGCCATCAAATCCTCCGGCGTGAGGCCGCCGATGTCCGCTCTCTTGGAGACCGCGGTGAGTGAGGCGAAGTCGGAGATGTCGCCGACTAGAATCCCACCCAGGAGCTTGGTGCCATCGGCGGTGAAAACCAGCTTCTTGTAGCAGCCCGACGCCTCATCCTTGGCCACAGTCGTCTTCACCTGCTCAGGATCCGTCGAGGTGTACTGCCGCTTAAACCAGAAATCGGAGGAGCCACCGAAGGATGCCACGTCCACTCCCAACAACTTCAGCTTGGTCGACAAGTCTGCATCCATGAACTTGGAATCTGCAGCAGGATTGGTCAGGTGGTCGGCCAGGACCTCAGCTTGCGTGTAGCCTGGCGCAGAGAGCTGGTAGCACATGCCACCGTTGTAGGAGGCAATCTCGCCCACGGCCCACACATGCTCATCCGTCACGCTCCTCATCGTGTGGTCCGTCTTCACTCCGCCCCGGCCTCCCAACTCGAGTCCGCTGGCTTCTGCAAGCTCCTGACGTGGCCGCACGCCTGCGCCCACGATGAGCAGCTGGACGTCCAAGACCTGCTCTTGGCCTCCCACCTCGATCTTCACCCCTTGCAAGCCACCGTCGCCCTGTTGCACCTCCAGGACCTTCACACCTGTGTGAACTTTGATGCCCAAAGACTCGATCTTGCCCTTGAGCATGGCGCCAGCCTCAGCATCCAGTTGCACCGGCATCAGCCCAGGCGCGACCTCCAGCACGTACGTCTCCAGTTTCAGGTCGTAGGCTGCCTGGGTGGATCAAAGCCCTTCTTTTTCGATCACGAGAAAAGACACAGCCCCTCTGCCATCTCGCCTTGGCAGCTTCCAGACCCAGAAGGCCTCCCCCAATCACTGCAGCAGCCTTCGCATTCTTGGCCCTCTCCGTGACCTGCGAGACGGCGCGCGCATGATTCTCCGGCTTGAGAGTGACAGAAGTCCTGCCTGGAAGAGGTCATCGATCGTCCGGTAAACATGCACACCAGGCACCTCGTAGTCGTAGCATTGGCGCAGAGGTGACTAAACCGGACACGAGATGCAGATATGTTACGAGGCACATGCCACTAAACACAGGGCGCAGGCAAGGCACATCGAGGGACAGGCCTGGTACGGGCGGCAGCCACGGTTTGCTCCCTGTTGCCAGCACCAATTGGTCGTAGGCAGTGCTCTTCACCTCACCTGTAAAGCCCGTTTGGCATTCCGCCATTCAGCTCTCGAATGTTACAGACGAGGCCCCGCCTTTCGGTGTGGTGTACTCTACACTTTTCGCGCCACGATCGATCTTCGTCGCCTTTCCAAGGAGCAGCTCCACGCCATTGGACTGACACCACTCCACACCTAGGACGCAGAGGCCACGCTCAGACTCAAAGCTTCTGTCCTGTAATCCCGTGATTGAGCCTCCAGGCCTCTAGGCTTGGTCCGAGGGCAGTACTACTGAGGGCCAGCTGATTGGGATCCCGATGCTCAAAGAAGGTAGTCAGCTTCACTCTGTTGTAGGCGGGGTAATTCTCCTCGCTGATGACCACAACCTGCAGGGTTCCGCTTTTGGCCAAGAGCTTCGCCACAACGGCGTGGCCCACCGGGCCCCACCCTACCTGCAGCAGTTGTCTGTGAGCATGGTAGCAAAGCGTGCAGTCGTGGAAGTCAGCGCGTGAATTCACGTCAAGGCTCGACAACCACACGCTGCCTGCCAGCCACGGCAGACTTCAACTTCTGCAAGTCCGCCGCATTCAGCTGCGACAGCGCTGCAGCAAGCTCCTGGTCCTCTCAGCATCAACTGTATTCCAATTCAACCATCCTGCACCCGAAAGCACCGTAACCCCCTTGACTCCGATCATCTGCATCACTGTAGGTGAGTCCGTCGCACCCGCAGCGGCCGACTTCAAGCTGGCAGAGGCCGCTGAACCCATGGCGTCCAGAGAAGCTACCAATGCCAGTGAGGCTGCGAGCTGCGGGAGACAGGCCGAAATGCCAAACTCAGACGGTTGAATGAATTTCTAGTCACGTCTAGAGTCTGGTCTCTTCTTCTCGAGTGCTTGCTGCATCCGTCTTGAGGGCTAACTTACACAGCACAGCTGAGCAGTATTGAGCAGTCATTACTCACGGATGCTCCAACTGGTCCATTTCAGCATGAGTTTGTTCAGCTCCCAAAACCAAGGGCCGCACTGAGCAATTCCCGATACACCGCGTCCATGGGATGTTCCCAGGTGGACTGGCTCGATGACTGGCACGGGACGGAGACTGCTCAGGTGAATTGAATCTGTGCTCACAAGTTTTCAACCTCCTACTAGTCAACCTTGCCAGTCACAGGACAAGAGCAGGGTAGGGTTGGACTGGATGCTAAGGCGACCGGCGATGAGAAAAGACAAAGTGTTGGAGGTTGTTACAACAGGATGCTGGCTACCGACGAGTGCTGCGCAGGCTGGACAATCTGTTTCTGCTAGCAGCTGTGTGCACCACGTGCACCACAGCACCAGCAACAGGGCCACTACGACCACTGCCATTGCTTGCTGTACCTGACATCTTCATACTGATATCCATGAACAGAAGCAGCATCGCTATCATCCCATCACGATCGTCACCATCCTTAGCATCAGCATGCTTGGTTTTCCTCGTCACCATCATCATCAAAAATGGCTGTTCACTGAACATCATCATCGTCATCATCATTGTCATCGTCCGGCAGGACAAAGCAGGATTACAGGCAACAGCAGACAGCCTGAGCAGCCGCAGCGCGCAGCAAGCGAGCCTGATTGAAGAAGTAGACACGACCCTCATCGTCCGTGTACTCGGTCCAGCTCAACGGCAAAGGAGCATTGAAGGCCTGCAAACGCTCCCAGATACTAGCTGCCATGATTGCGGTTCCGCACACTCCTCCTGGACGACCCAAAGCAAGTCAGAGTGCTGTGTGAGGTCAATACCTGGGTCTGGGTCGCTCATGGCAAGCAGGCGTTCGAGGAAGTCAAACGACTTGGCATAGGCTCTTGGCCCAGAGTCTGTGAGTACTGCAACAAGTCCGACTCCTGGAGGAAACCGTGGCTCAAGTCGACGACGAGAACCCTACAGTCGATCACCAAGACACTTCGCAGCCCGCGCACCAGGCATCGATTCTAGCAAACAACATGGGCTCGGTCACAGCAGTCTGTCGCAGAAGTCTCTTCGAAGCCAAAGCCCGAACCTCTAACCCCCCGTTTTGTCCCCGACCCTAAAGGCTTCGGGACTCCTCTCTCCGTCCGTCGCCGGCTTCGGCCTCCTCTGGTAGAGCCGGCAAAGACCTGACAAGAGGCCTCGTGGCCTCTTAGAGCCCAACGAAATCTCACAACTTCACAGCAACGTAAGCTCGTAGCTGCGGGGCGGAGGCCGTAGCGACCGTCTGCGTCTGCGCATGAGCAGCAGCTTTTTGGAACCTGTTCTTGATGTGAAAGACCAGCTGTCCTCGTGAGGTGGTGCAGGCACGGCTGCCGCTGGCGCTGTCGGGGGAACACCTTGAAGAGGCCGGAAACGAACCGCAGGGCGTGGACTGTGGAAAAGGACAAAGAGAGATGTCGAGATTCTGCTTCTCTAGATGTCAGCAGCCGTTGCAGTCTTCATGATCTTCGCTTCTATCATGTGGAATCTGCTTCCTGATCTCAGCCACGCACCAGCGCCGGCATCTGCACCCGAGCTCATCTCTATCCAGCCTGGGGCCTCGGATCACCGCAGGGAAAGTATTCTGCGCTGCCAGATGCACTCGACGGCCGCAAGATTCCGGCTGCATTGGAAGCTGCGTCATGCTTTGCGCAACTGATGCCAGCACTGCTTGGCCAAGCAAGGACTTTCTACAAGGTCAATTTGTTTTTAGCCTTGTAGCCACGGGCATCTACCCAGGGCATGTAGCCAATGGCACTGCTAAACTCAGAAAAAAAAGAAATTCGCATGAACTGGAATCTGAACGAGGGGTCTAAGGGGTTCATGCGTATACTTGCGTTCATGCCAGATTCAGCATTACCGTGCGGTGTGATTCTTGATGGCTCATGAAGCCTCACTATTCGAGCCTGACAAGCGCGGTGCTGCAACGGTTCAGGCCAGAAGCGGCTGTGACCTACTTCGCGCCGGGAGGGTCCTTCCGATTAGGCCGAGTCAGAGCAAGACCATTTTTGACAGTCGGATCCTCTGGGAGGTCCTAGTCACAGCCTTCCAGCTTGTAGGGCAGCCTGTCGCCCTTACATGGCAAAGCCTTGCCACGACCAGATCCATTTCTGCACGTTGCCGTAACACTGAATGTTGGTAGGTACAGACTGTTGACCGCGATGTTGTAATTGAACATTTCAGCCCCCGTTGGTTCCACGCATTTTGCTGGTGCGCAGCCACCAAGGGTGTACGGAAGACTCACCGCACTACACTTGCCGACCGAGGCCTTGCCGGTGTAGCCATCTGCACAGACTGCGTGCGCAGTGAAGTCGTCAAACAACAAGGACTTCTCAAACCTCAGCGGAGCCGCAGCTACAGCCGGAATCGCGTCAGAGAGCAAACGCACTAGAAACGTTGCCAGGGCACACGACGTAGCCATCCTCCGAGGTCCGCTTGGGAGAGCTGCACATGGAGGGGCAGCCCTCCAGTACGAAAGGCTCTCCTTCTCTGGAGCAGGCCTTGGACCTTCCAGTTCCGACACCGTTCTTGCACTTTGCCACAACACTGAATGACGGCACCTCCACTGATAAAACCGTCAAGTCATACGCCGCCGCATTGCTCGGCTCGGCACACTTCGCCGGTGAGCAGCCGCTCAGGGAGTACGGCTCGTTCGGCGCTGTGCACTTGGCCACAGCCGCCACGCCTGTGTAGCCATCTGCACAGACTGCGTGGGCCTCGAAGTCGCTCATCAGCAAGGACTTTTCCAACCTTAACTACTCGGGGCCAGTTGGGACGCTAGTACTTCCTGCTTGAGGTGACAGTGCTTGCATTCAGGCCTTGCCAAAAACCGGTGGAAAGGGACAAACAAAACTCAGAGCTCCCCTTGACCAGGTATGCTGCAAAGTAACACTTTGTACCCGTGCTCGACGGTTTTCTTTGGAGAGATACATAAGGATGGACAGCCTTCCAGTACAAAAGGCTGTCCATCTTCGGCGCATGCCCTGGCCTTGGCGGTTCCAACGCCGTTCTTGCAGCTGGCCACGATGTTGAACGATGGCATTTCCGCAGAATGTACTGTCAGAGCGTATGCGGCCTTGTCCGCAGCACTTGGCTCAGCACATTTCACGGGCGAGCATCCCGTCAAGATGTACGGCTCGTTAGCAGCTCCGCACTTGCCTACTGTCGCAGTGCCCTTGTATCCATCAGCACAACTGGCGGACACTGAGAACTCGTTCATCACCAGCTTTTCTTCGAACCTTGAGTCAAGCAGTCTCAAAGCTGGAAGCCAAGCGGTACTTCAGACTAAGTCTCTAAGTATCAGCGCGGGCCAAGTCACACCACATAGCCGGCCTCCGCAGCTTTCTTGGGCGAGGCACAAGCATCCATACAGCCTTCGAGCTCGAATGGGTCGCCATCTTTGTGGCACTCTTTCACTTTGGCGGTTCCAAAGCCATGCTTGCATTTGGCAGTCACGCGGAAGAATGGCCGGGACAGCGAGTGGATCTCGACTTCATAGTTGGCCTGGTCGACCACGCTTGGCTCAACGCAACTCTCTGCGCTGCATCCACTGAGCAAGTACGGCTGCTGCGTTGTGTCGCATGCTTTGACTTCCGGCGTGCCCTTGTAGCCCATAGCACAAGTGGCTCGAACATCGAAAGTGTGAGGCATTCTGGAGCCTTCGTACCTTAGATCTGTTGCATGGGGCTCCCTCAACTTAACAAATGCCCAGCTGCAACCGTCGGGCTCTGGCTCATCGCACTATGCGAAACAACGGTGGTGCAGACGAGGTACACTACATAGCCATGATCGGCCAGGTTAGCAGGTGATGTGCATTCACCCATGTAGCAGCCCTCAACTGTGTAGGGTTCACCGTCCTTTGTGCACTCTGTGGCCTTGCCAAACCCGATGCCCGACTTGCATCTGACAGAGACACTGAAGCTGGGCCGCTGCAGTGAATGGACTTTCAGCTCGTAGCCTTCTGTCTCTGTCGAGCTGGGCTCAGTACAAGTTTCAGGCACGCAGCCGGTGAGAGAGTACGGTGCATCTGCATCCTTGCAGGCAGACACGGATGCAGTGCCTCTGTAGCCGGCAGCACATGACGCGGTCACGTGGAAGCTGTGCGGCATCTTGGAACCTTCGTACCTTGTGTTGCAGAAATTCTCATGCAAGCGGTGCTATGACACCAATGCAGCCGTTAGACCCAGAACCCTGCCCAAACAATCTTTTGGAGGCCTGCTGGATACTTCACTCACGAAATCTTGTGGCGAAACCACCTGTTCACAAAGCCTCTCTCAGTGGCAACTGCGATGTGTGCTGATACAGCAGGACAACACCGTGCAGCGCGCGGTGGCAAGCTTTGCTAATGGTACGAGTACGGTCAAAGGCATCAACGCTGCTGAAGCTAAACACGGCATGCAACTGGACTTGGGGGGGCGCTCTACCAAGAAATAACGGAAATCGCTGATTTAGATGGTGCTGGCCACTGGCCGGGTCATGTTTACGTGTAGAAGTAAATCGACCTATCTAGTTTTTGTACTTATATACTTTATGTACAGAGGGTATAGATGTGGAATCTGTGACAGTGCATGTTAAGTCGTTCAACCTTACAGTTCGGACCGGCAACTTGGCATGACCAATTAGTCTCGCAATGTCGGTACTACGAGAAAACGTGCTCGTGTTGAAGTAATGCTGTTGCAGGAAGGGTGCACGACATAGCCTTGCGCCGCATGGCCGACCGGCGACGTGCACTGACCGATGTAGCAGCCTTCGAGCGTGTAAGGCTCGCCATCTTTTGTGCACACCTTGGCCCTGCCAAGTCCGATGCCGCTGCTGCACTTCACAGACACGCTGAAGCTGGGCCGGTCTATCGAAAAGGCTTTGAGCTCGTACCCCTTCCCGTCTGAAGGCGGCGCACATGTCTCTGGCACACAGCCCGTGAGTGAATACGGAGTGCCAGCAGTTTTGCACGTGGAGACGGAAGCAGTGCCCTTGTAGCCAGATGCGCATTTCGCAGTCACGTTGAAGCTGTGAGCCATCTTGGAGGCCTCATACCTCAGCTTTCTTCCTGCTTCCCTGCCTGGGACCGAGACCGAAGAGACAACAAGGACACCAAAAACAACATCTCAAGATGAAATCGTTCTAAACGAAGGAAAGGCACACAACATATCCTTGTGTTGCGAGATTTGGAGCTGGTGATGTGCATTCACCAACAAGGCAACCCTCAACGGTGTATGGCTCACCGTCTCTTGCGCACGCTAGGGCTTTTCCGTAACCAACTCCACTGGTGCACTTTACCGTGACGCTGAAGCTTGGCCTTTCCAAGGAGAATGGGCTTAACTCGTAGCCTTTCATGGCTGCTGCCACGGGTTCGGTGCAACTTTCCGCAGAGCAGCCACTCAGAGAGTAGGGTGTCCGATCATCTGAGCAAGGGGACACAACGGCAGTGCCCTTGTATCGATCTGCACACGTGGCAGTGACGTTGAATGGGTCCTTGAACATTGAAGCTTCGTACCTTAGCCTACCCGCGACAGTATATACTTCGTCAGAGTCTGGATCTTTTGCACGACTTCACAAGATTTGAGCAAGTCGCACGACGTAACCTCCATCCACTGCATGAACCGGAGAGGTACACTGTGCCTTCACACCTCTCCTCAATCTTCCCTTGAGCGCCAGCGCCGGCGCCAAGAGCACAAGGAAGACTGCAAACTTCCTCCAGATGCCAGGAGATCAGTCACGCTTGCAAATAAACATCGCTTCAAACATCATGTTACTTAATGCAACTAGGGTGCATTGTGGCAGCCGCTGGAAACCCCCAGCGCCACGCAGGTCAAGCCAAGCGCATTGCCAATGTGGCAACCTTGGGCGAAAAGACCGTGCACTAGAGCGAGAGAGAGAGAGAGAGAGAGAGAGACAGACAGTTCTTTCACCGACATGGGTTCCGGACCCCCATGTGGGGCATGGACCAGCGTACATTGCGCTGCCCCTGACGTGAAGATGAGCCGAGACAGCCATGGAACAGATGGAGACATACACTCCCCGGATGATTCTGATCTTGCCGATTGGTGCGGATTGCCAGTCGCTCCACGCAACCATGCAACCAACAGTACTCAAGATTTCCACCTCGCAAGCGGTGTTCGCTCGCAGCCCAGATGCTTACATTCCGGGCCACCGGCGGTGAAGAAGCCCCAGAGCTCAGACTCTACGGCATAGTTTGTACATTGCCAAACACTCGCGCGAGAATCACTTCAGGACTCCATGCCCAAAGCCATGCCTGCCGAAGACGGATGCAGCATGGTGCGATACTTCCGGGCTTCCACGAAGCTGAGAACCTAGGGCCTGTATGTGGGAAACTGCAAGTTGCAAAGCAGCAATCTAGGGATCACCGGACGGAAAACCATAAGCCTCTCAGTACAACTGCACTGAAAAAGCTTCCTGGCACATCTTGAGAACACTCCGGTGCCTAGGTAAGCCCGCACAGTCAGGTCGCCCGTTGCTTCGTGCAGGCCTTGGTGCACAGAGGTATTACCACTTGGCGCTTTGAACCACCTTGCACGACGAGCTTTCAGTTGGGTTGAGAAGATGGAGAACCTTTACCTTGACAGTGGTGGACAACTCGAAATCAGTCTTTGACCCAGTTTATCCTCTCCTGCTCTCGAAAGCGCACGTTGGAAACGTCAGCGGAGTCTTATCTCGCAACAGCCAAACAACGGTTGCAAACCAAACATGGTGTGGTAAAAACGTCCTCTTCCGCCAGTCGCAGTCCAAGGGCCCCGACTCTGCAGCGCTGGTGCCTGCCTGGCCCAGTCGCGCACCTCGGGCTGTGAAGCCAAGTTGGCCATGCACCTGGCTGCTTTGAAGGAGCGACATACACATATTGAACATGTCGGCTGGGTGTCGAGTTTAGAGGGGTGAGGACACAGTGATTCAATTTCAGGTTATGGACTTTGTGTTGACCGAGACTTGTTTCCTCTTCGAAGGCTTTGAATTTTGGTGTCTTGGGTGTACCTATACTACATGTCTGTCCGCCTGGTGTCGTCAAGGGACTTCAGGATGGTGTTGCAGGAGTCCAGTCGCGGAGCCAAAGAGCAGAGTTCCAAGACAGTACCAACAAAGCAGTCTCGCTTCCCCACAATTGTTAACAACGGCTACCAGCGACCTTCTAGTACATCTTCATCTTTCGTTGCATTCTGGGAGGGGAGCGGCACCACACACGGAAAGCACTGCTACCGACCGGCTTGGTGCAGAAATCAGTGCTACGATACTGCAACAACACACTCCGTTACCTCTTCCGGCCTGCATGCAGCCCTTTGCAGTGCGACCGGGCTGTGGCTTTCCGCACCTTCCACCGATCTTCTGGTATCTGAAGGCTTGGGCCAGGGTGGTTCTTCATTCCAGCCTCGGACAGCACAGGCTTCCGGCCTGAGCGAAAGTACGAAGCCAGGACGATTGTGCTTGCCGCGATCATGCTCTTGCCCGTTGCCGCCACAAATTTCTTGATCCGTGTAACAATAGTAGCAGCAGTAGAAGTAGCAGCAGCAGCAGCAGTGGCAGCAGCAGCAGTAGTAGAAGTAGTGTAGTAGTCGTAGTAGTAGTAGTAGTAGTAGTAGTATTAGTAGTAGTAGTAGTAGCACGGGGAGGAGGAGGAGGAGGGGGGAGGTAGTGGTGGTGCTGTTGGCAGCCGTAATAGCAGCAGCAGCAGCAGCAGCAGCAGCAGCAGCCACGTCCGTATCTGACCTGGGGATTTCGCGTGCTTCCGCCGCACTTTTGCCGTGCATACCGCGCAAACGTCCATGTTCTCTTGGGTTAAAAACGTCGAGCCCTAAGAACGTTCATTCCTAGTTGCATGCGATCACAAGGGCGTCCATGCTCCAAGCCTCTTCACGTCGATTCCTACTTGCGTGCGATCACTTCCTAATTGAATGCGATCACCAAAGCACCCAAGCAGAAATCTAAAAACATGTTTTCTGGTTGCATGCGATTACCAGTGCATCCATGCAAAAACCTTAAAAACGTTGAATCTTAATCGCTGGCGACCACCAAAGCTTTCAGACCCAAACCCTAATGACGTCCATCCCTAATTGCGGGCGATCACCAAAAGCATCTATGCCCAAACCCTAACAACGACCACTCCTAACTGCGTGCGACCCCCAGGGCATCCATGATCAAACCCCGTCCTTTCCTAGTTGCGCTCGATCACCAGAGCATCCATGCCCAAACCCGAATATGACGTCCATTCCTAACTACGTGCGATCACAAGAGCACCCATGCTCGAACCCTAGTGACATCACTTCCAGATTGCATGCTCTTACCAGAACATCCATGCCCAAGCCCCCAAAATTTCCATTCCCAATTGCGCGCCCCAATTGCGGGCGATCACCAGAGCATCCCTGCCCAAACCCCCCGTGCGTCCATTCCCAATTGCATGCGATCACCAGAGCATCCATGCCCAAACCCTAACTGCATGCGATCAATATGGCATCGCGCTGCTCATACTGCGAAGCCAATCTCGGAGAGCATTGTCGGATGGACAGGGATGTCGCTGCATGAACTTTTGGAGGACCACTTCACGTCGTACTTGTGGATTGCTTCGAACCCACGGGTCGGCCACCGGGAACGGGCCGGTCATGACCGGCCGTCGCGGAGACTGCGGCGGGATGGGATTCGCGAAGACAGCTGGTTCGGAACCGATCCCACTTGGAGTATTCGATGGCCGACATGAGTGCTGGCGGTATGCATGCGGGGCCTTAAGGTTTCTAGCATACGTGCTGCGACACACTCCTACCTGCAACGTGGCTACTGCACTGCGGACAGCCCGCCTCCAAGCAAAAAACACTTCACGCAACAGCCCCGTACTGCAGTCACGTTGTACTCTTGTGCCGCATTTGTGCTCTGGCGTCTTCAATGCCACGATTCGGTGAAACTTACACTCACACGCGGGCCACGGGCATCAAAGCTGGGCCCATGCCGCGGCTGCGCTTAATCAGGACTGTGTTGGTTTGCTGGGCGACCAAGACGGGAAGCACGCGCTGCTCCCGCAGAACTGATGTGTGGTTTTCCACATGTCCGCAATAACTACGCCGCTACCCAAACCAGATTTCCCAAACCTCGCTGTGTTGCCGACCGGCCTTCGTCATCCTGAATTCTCGCACTTGGCAGAAACAGCGGCAGGCTCGCTCGCGGCCGTACTTCCACGCCCAAAGTGCCTGAGTGTGCTGGCAGGTTGTGGTGTCAAGAAATCGGCGAGCGAACACAAGCACAGCTGGTGGTCGGATGCAATCCGGTCACCTTGAGGCTCTCGAACGTCGCATCCGGTCTGAGCCTAAGCGATTCCGGTGGTCCGAACTCGCTAAAGACGATCACCAAGAAAATATCGGAGCTCTTTGGTGCTCGATTGCTGGAGCGGCGTCGTACTGCTGCATATTGTGCTATATATGTAGGTGCAAATTTTTCCAGCTGAGCAGCGGGGGCGCGATTTCCGGCGCGACCGCTGCTGAGAGGTGCCAACAAGCTAGTTTGAGACTTCAATGATGGCTGCGAACCCGACACGTGGAATGCCTGCATGGGGAGCAATGGCACGGCATCTCAGTTGTCCTCGAGCACAGGCAAATGTGAATTTGCAGCATGGAAAAAAGCTGGATCTCCTTCCTACCCGACGATCACAGTGTTGTGCCCCCATTAAAGAACAATTGTTTCGTACTATCAGCTTAGGAAAACGAAAAATCAAAATAAGCCAACCGGGTCCCAAGACTGCTTCACCCCCAGAGCTGCGTCACCTCGGTAGATCCGCGTTCTTTGTCCTCAGGATAAGAAAACTGGTCCTCCGACAGGTCCTCATTCTTTGTCCTCAGGATAGGCAAACTGGCCTTCCGGCAGGTCCTCCAGGAGCCAAGCGAACTGGCCCTCCAGCAAATCCTGCTTCTTTGTCCGCAGGATAAGCGAAACCCAGGACACGCAAACTGGCTCTGCGACAGGTTCCCCTTCCTTGTTCCCAAGATAAGCGAGTTGGCCCTCCTGCAACTGCTGGCGTTTAACAAGTCTTGAATCTTTGTCTGCAGGATAAGCGAACTGGCCCTCCGGCAACTCCCCCTTCTTTGGCCTTCCTCCAGGACCTCCTTTTTTGTTTTCAGGATAACTGAATTGGCCGGCAAATGCTCGCCTTCCGGCAGGTCATCCTTCTTTTTGACCCCATCCAGGACAGGCGAACACGCCCTCCGGCACCAAACCCTTACAACATCCGTTCCTAATTTCGTGCGATCAGCAAAGCACCCAGGCCCGAACCCTATACTTGCGGGCGATCACCAAAATATCCATGCCCAAACCCTAAGAATCTCCTGTCCCACTTGCGCGCCCTAATTGCTTGCGATCACCAGAACATCCATGCCCAAACCCTAATCATCTCCGTTCTCAACTATGCGCCCAAATTGCGGGCGATCACCAGTGCATCAATGCACAAATACTATCAACGTCAATTCCCAACTGCGCGCAATCACCCGATCATCCATGCCCAAACCCCAGCTACTAACACTGATTCCCACTTGCGTGCGATCAGCAAAGCATACATGCCCAAACTCTCAAGACAATTGCGCGCCGGAATTGCGGGCGATCATCAGAGCATCCATGCCCAAGCCCCACTAACGTCCATTCCGAATTGCATGCGATCACCAGAACATCCATGCCCAAACCACACTAACATCAATTCCTATAAAGGCGTGCGATTCCCGGAGCATCCAGGCCCAAACCCTACAAATCACCGTTCCTAATTGCGTGCGATCACCAGAGCATCCATACCCAAAACCCTATTGATGCCGATTCCGAATTGCGTGCGATCACCGGAGCAGCCATGCACAAACCCTAATAGTCTCTGTTCCCAGCTGCATGCCCTGATTGTGAGCGATCAACAGAACTTTGCATCCCCTAATCGCGAGCGATCACCAGAGCGTCCATGCCCAAACCTGAATAATCTCTGTTCCCAACTGCACGCCCTAATTGCGAGCCATCACCAGAACGTCCATGCCAAAACCTTAACTTGATGACCTTGGTTCCCAATTGCATGCCCTAATTGGGGGCGATCACCAGAGCACCCATGCCCAAACCCTCAGCAGTTGGCCCGCATCTGCCAGAGCAAAACCCCCCACACTACCAGTGGCCGTTCCTCCTTCACCCTTAGCCCTAAGCCCGAAGCCTCGATCCCCGAGGTAAGCTTTTTCTGGCTCTATCTTCAAGACTTGCTTCTGCCTTATTGGGGCAGCGAATTCGGAGGAGTTCTTCTGGAGGTCAATTTCAGGGACGGCCCTTCGGCTTCAAGCTTGTTATCGTCAATCGAATTTTCTGCTCGAATTGTGCATGAGCGCGCTTTACGTAGTAGTCTTTGTCAAACATAACGAGCTTCAAAAACTACTTCGCTACTTTGGAGACCCTGCGTGCAATACTGCCTAAAAACCTCGGCCCAGCCAATGCCTTTGGCACTTTTGTAGCTAAACGAAATAGTCTTGGTGCAGTCCATTCTTCACAAGAGCATAAGACACTGTAGGTCTGCCCCAATTTGGTGAAGCTTCCCAGCTCAAAACACACAAAACCCCAAGCCAGATACGCACGCGCGACCTCCTAGTAGTAGTAGTAGTAGTAGTAGTAGTAGTAGTAGTAGTAGCAGTAGCAGCAGCAGCAGTAGCAGCAGCAACAGTACTAGCTGTAGTAGCTGTGATGTGGTACTGTCTTTGATTAGGTTACCTTCTTTGATGCGGTTTTTCCGGGGCTTATTCATGACTCCGTAGAATTTCCGGCGAAAGCCCAAATAATGCTCCTTTTTGGCCCGGCGGGTTTTTGTCGGGGTTCTTGTTTCTTCCGTCCTGTCTGCTAAGCATCCGTCTTGACTGAGAAGAGGATAGCATGAGGCCGAAAGAAACTCTTTGCAGTAGAAAGTCATGCCAAAAAAGTAGAACCCGCCCTTAGGATGAGCAGAGACAAATACAGGACTTCTCATAGTGTAATTTCATAAACAAATGCTATGTGTTATACCATATTATACCTCTTATGATGAAGTGAAGGAGCTCTCTTGTCTCTTCTTGATGGGGACGAGGCTCTTTGCCTTTCTCTAAATATTGAGAGACAGAGGATCGTCATTTCGTGAGCCAGCAGATAAGTTAACAAGATCCTTTCCGTATACATTTCAAGATAAAACAGCTGTGCTTGTTTCCAATGTATCACATACAGGATCCTTCAACATCATCGAACACAGTCACAATGCTATTTAGAATCCAATGTGCACAAGATTTAAATCAATTGGTGCAATCCCTCCGCTAAGTCATAATGCGAAATACAAGTGTCTCCACCTTCGCGATGAGGCCATGAGGCGAAGAAAGGGTCTATTTCATGTTGCGTTGGGATGGCGGGGGCTCATTTATCTGTTCCTAGTGCTAGTGATGCTAGTGGTGAAAGCAGCGGAAGCGGAACCCTGTTATGTATGTTCTGAACCAGGAGTTCTCTTGCATCTGCTAACAGACAACACAGCGAACCTCTAGAAGATATGAAGTTGCTTCAGTTTTCCCTGGAACATGGAGCCATTGAGGTTACTCTCACTTTACCATTTGTGGATAGATGGATCTTGTTGCTTTTCATCGACAAATAACATAGTTGCGAGTGTTGTGACCGAAAGAGTCCTCTTTTCCTTTTATGGTGAAAAGAGAAGACCAGCCATGTCTATTCAACGTGTAAATGAAACGTACGGCTTCAAAGGATGATCCATTGAGCTTGAGACAGTGCGGAACTACGGCTTTGATGCAGCATAAAGAGAGATACAGGCGTGCTCTCACACTTCTTACATTTCCTTACACGGATAGGAAAGCAAAATCCGTTCAAGTCATTGTCAGCTTTTGTATGCAGACTTTAGGAACTCTCTCGTTTTTGGACACTGATAAGGATGAACAGGATTTCAGGTCCTTCTCTGTGGTGAATGAAGAGTTCCACTGAGAGAAGAGCTCTCTTATTTCTTTTTGAGAGAACAACACTGCTTTAGTTGAGAGCGCGTGGTTCTCTGCGTTATCGAGACACAAACAAGCGGTAGGCACGCAACCCGAAGCAGCAAACAGAATCCGTTTTGGGGCTCAGGGGGTTTTGATGTGACACGGGTAAGTATAAAGCAAGTGGCGGTAAGTATAGGTGAAGCGGCGAAACCACCGTACATGCCGATGGTTTCTATACCTGGGAGACAACAAGCAGACACAGTAGATTTGGGAAGAACAGTCCGTAAGAAGGCTGGTATGTATCATGGGGGGCCTTATGTACTCGTACAGTGGGATGCAGTGTTTCAGGGTTTACGGTCTTGGGCTTCAGGGTTTCGGCAGGGGTGTGTCCAATTTTGTTGTTGAGGGTCTGATCTAATCAACCCCCCCGTCTGTAGTAATGATTATAGTAATTCGGAACCCTGAACCATAAACCCTACTAATGATTTTAGTAATTCGGAACCCTGAACCCTAAACCCTAAACCCCAGTATTGATTATCGTAGCTCGGAACCCTGAACCCGAAACTCTGCTTTAAGGAACCCTCCTAGTGAAAGGAACCCTCAAAAGAACACCAAACCCCACATCACTGTACCCCCCATGTACCCCCAAACCCTAAACCCTAAACCTATAGAGCCCATAATTCAACCGTGTTGAGAAGCCCTTATAGAACCCCCGGTTGGGAAAGGAACCCTGAAAGGAACCCTTGAAGAACGCTTAAGCAACCAACCCTTAAAGCAACCCTTCTAGAAACCTTAAAGCTAAAGAAACCCTTAAAGGAAGGCTCACGACAAGTCTCAGCGCAGCGGTGTCGTGCACGGACTCTGGTTTCCCTTCTCTACACGATGGTCCGCCCAGGAGACCGCCACAGACTTGCGTGAAGGCGCGAAGCGCGAAGGCGCGAAGATGCGAAGGCGCGAAGGCGCGAAGCGCGCGAAAGCGGCACGAAGCGCGAGAAGCGCGAAGGCGCGAACCCACAGCTTCCGAGAAGGATAGTCATACTGCGAGCAATGGACATAGCACTAGCGACAGCAACAGTATGTAATAGTAGCAATAATTGTACGAAGAACTACAGGAGGATCAGAGCTACAAAAGAGGTGGCTCACAATGCCTCGTGCGAGAAGCCTGTTAAGATTGCGGCTGTCCGTCTTGCTGCTTTCACTCATTACTACTAGTATACTTCTTCCCGCCCTTTTATTTGCAGCATTAACTTTTCTTCGCGTGCTATAAAGTTGTTCGGATTATTCTTATCATTCTTCTTTTGCTTCCGCATATTGGTCATTGCGGTTATTATCCTTCTTCCTCCTCTTCTGCTTCTTCTTCTCTCTGCACTTGCCATCGTAAACGCGAACACCTTTGTCGTCAAAACATATGTTCTCCTCAAAATCCGGCAAGAGCCAACCAAGCGAAGAGCTGGGTGCAGCAGTGCGCGAGGAACTTGAGAAGCGAAGCCTGGTTCGCGAAGAACTGCCGGAAGTCCTCCAGACGTGACATGCCCGTCAGTGGCATTCACTGACTTTCAGAGCTCCAAGGCCCGTGGGCCAGTGTTGCAAGACTTTCCGGCCTCCTTGAGGGCCAGTGTACCCAGAATTTCCAGGCCTCGAAAATTGCACAAGCCAGCTGAAGAAGCTTCGCGGCGTGGTCAAATCGAGGCGTGGGCACGCGAGCGGGTGCCTGGGCATGACATGCATGAGCCCGGAGTTGATGGCCTGCCAGGTCTTTCCGAAGACAACTCCCAGAACCCAAACGCAAAATGATGCCTTCGGAGACATTCGGAATGTCGAACCGGAGACCTCAAGCGTCCCGAGACTGCAAAAGCCAGCCGTCATGTCTGGCACCATGAGGGTCTCTTGGGGCTTTGGCGCCATCAGGGTCCACCAGTCTCCGTAGCATACGCAGCGCGAGGGCCTGCCCACTGACACCAGCCATCGCCTAAATGCAAAGAAGAGGAGCCCACAAACCTGGAGCTCTGCAGGAACGTGCTCTTGCAGCAGCACCTAGCTTCAACGGCAAAGCGCTATCTTCAAAGTGCTTTGTGGTCCAGGCGGCAGTAGATCTACTTCCTGCCTGCACGGACTGCTGCTCGTGCACATGGGTGGATGATCTAGCCTCAAGAGTTCTTGAGCAAACTTACTTTCAACTGCTTACCCCCTGCCACGAACCTTTTTTGCAGGATACATGATCGGAAACCGCTGCCAAGCTTGCACTATTTGGCAAGCGCGGGCTGCATTTGTGCATTCGCGTCTGGGGGCGGAGTTACTCAGAGGCTAGAGCAATCTGCTGAATCATCTCCTCCATCGAATCCAGCATGGCCGACCTCTTCACCAGTTCTCTCTGTACTCTCCCGGAGTGCTTTGCACACAGACTACAGTGCTAGGCTACGGAGAGGACACTTGGTAACCTGCACACTCCAAGCCCACCCCATCACGTGCCTCAGGGCCTCTGGCAGATTCGCCCAGGATGACTGGAGCACCTCAGAGCGGCTCCGAACCAATGCAGTCACCGCCTAGCCTCAACACGTCCAACACCACCCCGAACACGTAGTCTCCGTGCGACACCCTCATGTTCTACGCGAGCGACACCTCAACTATCCTACTGGTACGAGCAACCCCCCTTGGAACCCCCGGCACGAAAGAGCTCAGCCCAGCGGCCTCAAGGGCTTCCCCGAAGCGGAGGCAGCGGCCCAGCTGTCGGACGAAGGCCGCCCGCGACCGAGGCTCCCCTTTCCGAAGGTTGCGACTGTCAAGCAATTTTTCCGGAGCTTCAATCTCGGGTAGAGTGCAGGGAGATACGGCAAGAGAGAGAGAGAGAGATAGATATATGTATATATATATATACATATATATATATATATACACATATATCATATATATATATATATATATGTATTTGTTTAAATAGTTGCATAGAGTAACAGAGACAGAAAGATGGTCAAAAAATCATTGGGCGTCTGTTATTCGTAGTTCAGCCTCTGAGGCGGACGAGGACTCTGCCCAGGCTGGGGAGCAGATGCCTCGCACAAAATCGATCTGAGACAACGGCTATGTCAGCAGCACGGCGAGAAGTCGTCGAAGGAACTGATTGGACTGGGCGCCCGACAAGGCTCCGCCTCTTGCTGCTGACTGCAGTGCCTTCGACAGGACCTGCGACAGAGTGCATTACCATGGCCGCATGAAGCTAGAACACCAGGACCTCGGCGAACCCAGAGTCTGCTGCCAGCTCATGGAGGGCACCCTGTAAGCCGCAAGCGGGTCCGGGGTTCAAGAGACTGCGCGAGACGAGCCTCCTGGCTGCTGACGACCTTGGCCTCCGAGCCGTGACGGGGCACGGGGGGATGCGCACGGATGGCACACAGCGCGGCTCCGGCCTCGAACTCCGACAGGGCCTGGCCCAAGGCAGAGGAGTCCAAACTGAGCTTCCTCTGGTCCAGCCTGGAACACCCGAGCTGAAGAAACATGCGTGGCGGCGTCGTGGCGTGGCGGCTCTCTTCCAAGGTGGAGGCAAGAGTCGAAGAGTCATCCCTCCAGGTAGAATTGGAGTCGGCGTCCTGGTTCCAAGTCGGGCTTCTGTCGTCACAGGTTTCCTTTGTGGTGGCCTCTCAGACAGAGAGCCATTCCTGCCTGGCACACATGCAAACTCTCTTGATCGGTGCTTCTCAGCACGTCTTCGATCGCGAAGAGAGAGGGAAGAGAGAGGCAGCCTGACGGAGAGTAGCCTCCATGCGCGACAGCAGCACCAGCTGACTGCAACCTGCCAGTCGGCAGCCACTCCCAGCCGCAAAGAGCACGAGCTGCTGCGTTGCCTGCTTCTTTCGACTTGGGGCTTTCCCTCGCTTGCGCCCACGCATCCCCCCAGGCCACCTCCAGGCAGCAAAAGCGCGGCGGAGCATCCCGAGGTATCTGAGGTCCTGGGATCTTCGGCCTTTGGCGGTGCTCGCACTCCCGACGCCAACCTTCCTCGGTGCCACAGTCGCGGCGCCAGTTGTCCTCGTTGAAAACATGTAAGGCACATGCTCCAATGCCTTCCGTGCTGCGTATGCCTGAGCAATGCTTGAGACTTCAAAGCAGCCGCGACAGTTCCACAGGTGACTTTCCTCACTGCTGCGCTAGGTTATCGGCATTTTGCTTCATCCGGGAGGTGCACCTGGAGTCCTTCCTGATACAATGCACAAGGCTGACTGCGAAACACTCTGGAAACAGGACGGGTTGAGCAGCTAGCGCCAGCTTTTGCATCAGGATGACGGGATGACAGTCCTTCCCGTTCCCGCGTCGAGCGCGCGACCGCATCAAGCTCCCAAAAAACCTCCACCAAAAGCCGTCCTCCAGCACTGGTGCCAGGGCAGTGCCTGCACAGGGAACACAAGTGGCGACAGAGAGGGAGAGGGAAACAACGAGAGAGAGAGAGAGAGGAAAAAAAAGAGAGCGCGACTCAGAGAGGGCGCTGTTGATGGCTGTTTCGAACTGGTCCGAGCCGGTCGTACGCAGCTTTTAGAAACTGCTGTGTCCAGTTTGGGCCCACGCCGTGCTGCAACACCAGCTCCAGGAAGAGCTGCGTGGTCTTTTCCAGCACCTGAGGCAACAATTCCGACTTCACTTGAAGGCATCACGCAGGGTAAGGTGCCAGGAACTGAGAGACCAGGTCTTCGCGGGGGAGTGGCAAGGAGGCTTGTGGAGAGGCGAGCACCGATGCGTTTTCAAGTCTCTGCGTTATGGTCGAATAAGAAGATCGCCTAGCCCACGAAATCTGGTGAAACGAGGGAAGCATCCTCGTCCGAAAGGACAAAACACCCGCAGCAGTAGCCAGTCAGCGGCTGGCCCCAAACCCTTCGAGATACTTGGGAAGAGAATCCGACGGTGTTTGGTCCAATAGCCATCCGACGGCAAGCTACAGGCAGCATCGCTAGAAGGGCCCAAGGCCGAGAGTGCCGGGGAAGCAACCTCCGGCACTGCGTGCCAGGGCCTTTCAGGGCCCTCCAAGCTGAAGGGCTCCGGCTTCCTTCGGAGTCCCACCAGGGCTTTTCAGGGAGCGGTCGGAGGAGGAGGTGACGAGCTCTTGGCTCTTTGATTTTGGGGAACCGAGCTGTGCTCCTCCATCATTGACATGTAGAAAAGTTCGCTGCATGCTTGGTCTGGTGTCTAGCAGGGTACTGGGGAGGGTGGGTGGGCGCTCGTCGGTCACATTCACCCTGATAGTTCTTTGCACGGGAAAGAGACTGAACCAGAACCTGAAGCCCAAAGCCCAAGCCTTGAGCCTTGAGCCTTGAGCCTCACAACCGATAAGCTGCAGCCGGCCTCGGGATCGGAATCCAGCTTGGTGGAAGGCGAGAGCAAGCCGAGCCTTCCAATGCAGCCCAAGAGCACTTCACACTTGACGAACGTCCGTCAAGATCCCGGCAGAACGAAGAGGCCACCAGCTGCGAGGAAGGCCGGCAAGGCGGCACCGTCCTGCCAGGCGGATAAGCACAGAGGATCAAAGCAAAAGTTCAGTCTCTGCCGTGTGCTTCATGCGAGCTTACAACACATCTAGACCGCCCATTGAATGGTGCATCTACTGGCTTATAAGCCAACCCCGCTCAATACAGCCTGGGCCGGCAGCAGCCTCCTGAAAGAGTGATATCGCTCCTTGCCTTTCATGCTCGCAGGGACCCTTAGGCGAGGACCCCAGAATGTCCAGCGCATCTGTCCGGACCTTTGGAAGGTGTGAACTGGCTCAGGTCCAGGTCTTCAGGATTTTGCGAGAGCCTGGAGGAGCTGTGGACCCCCAAGCATCAGCATGGCCTTAATAAGCATTGTGAAAGCAGCTTCCGCACTCAAAGAACCAGCGAGGTGCAGGCGAGCAGGATGGACATGGCCTCGGAGCTCGCCTCATCTACGAACAACGGGCGACGAGCGGCCACGAGCACCACAAGACTATACCTTGTTGGTGGACTGGGTATGGCTCCTCTCCGTGGGCTTTGAGCGCAGCGTGGCAGACCGTCCGGGCGATGTAGGAGATCTGTGTACAACCCACTTGTCAATGATGCAGGCTTGAAGCTCGCCTCAACAGCTTGAAAGGGAGGCATCCAGTCCTGTGCCCGGAAGGATGCGAAGATGCCCCTCACCTCCTCCAAGCCTACGAGTGTCAGCGGGAAAGCTTCGAATGAAGCGGCTTGCATCCTGGGTCTTGTGCTCGGCTTGTCTGGCAACGGCGCGCCCGTCACCTGCCGCGTTCCAAGGGAGCCTGTAATTCCTCTGCCGCAATTTTGCACGACCGATGCTCCGCTCGCCTCAGAATCTGCACGGTGGCAGGTCACCTGCAGGCGCCGCCAGCCAGGTCAAGGGGCATCAGGACACTGCTCTGGAATGTGCACCGTGCTGCCATCGTCGAGCACTTCGCCCACCACGGCTGCCTCGCGCAAAGAACTGACACGAGTCGAGCAATTGAACATGTTTTGTCGAAGGTGGAGATTGACAGACGGACGGGGTTTATCCACAGGGAGCATGGGCAGTGCAGCTGCTGTTCCTCTGCGTGCTCGGGCTTCAGTGGCGCTGCCGAAGGCTAGGTGCAGCTGCAGCTTTGCTCTCCGGCCACCATGTGTAGCACTATGTCGCATTAGCTCTAAGCAGTCAGTTTTGCCGACTGGGTTGGATACACAGTCGTTCCTGTCACACATCAGAATGGGAAAAAAGCCCGCGATTTACACAGATTTACACAACCTTGCACGGCGAGCTGTATTTGAGGATGCAGCATCTGTCAAGAAGAAGCCGTCTGCCTCACTCCAGCTGACCACCAGAAAAGACCCGTGATTTGGGGCGACGTGACTGAGTTTGGCACGCTGGCCATGCGGAAAAAGATCACCGGCAACCTTGCCCAAAGCAAGGACTAGCAGACTAGCAGCACTAGCCACTCCTTTTCCAAACTGCGCGCCTGCTTGGAAAGACGGATCGGAAGTCTGCTTGGATTCGCTGCCGCAGAGAGGCCTTAACCAAGCAAAACGCTTAGAGTCACAGACAGTTTGATGAGGGCTGAGACAGGACAAGAATCCACCGTGCTCGCAGCATCGATTAACACCACGAAGCGCACCTCCGGCTCACGGATGCTTGCTGTCTTCAAATCCTACGACGGTCATCTGCCTCTTCTTCGGGCCCTGCAAAGGCCACGAAGAGCTTCATTCTGCTCTTCAGGATCACAGGGCATGGCACCCGAACAGAAACCAAACAGCAAGACTCGCAGCAAGACTCCCGTGTGTTATAGCGGCATGGAACTGCGAGCACTGCTGTCGAGCTGGGTCGTGCCCCAGCCTGGCTAGATGATGGGGATAATGCTCCTGTTCGAAACTAGTTCGGTCTCGATTGAACGGCAGGCGCCTCGAGACGCTGTCAACCGGAACAACTGGATGTACATGTCATGAGCATCTCAGCATGCGAGCTGCCATTTTGATCTCGCATTTCTGCGCACTAAGATACATTGGGCGAAATGTCCACAACTCAGGCATGGATCATCTCTCACACATTCGTAAAGCTCCTCTTAAACTGTTGAATGAAGCACCGACTGCTCAGGCAAAAGCAACTAACAGGATGCTGTGGGAGGGAGGCCCGTCTGGAACCGGCTCTTCTCCAGCAGCTTTCCACCTGCAGGCGCGCTTTTGACGCTTCGCCCTACACACGAACAGCCCTTGCACTGTCTGCTTCTAGCCTGCGGCCATCAACCGCTGATGGCGCCACATCCCTCCAGTTTGTAGGGCATATTGTCACCACTGCACGGTATGGCCTTGCCAGTGCCTTTCCCATTCTTACATCTGGCTGTGACACTGAACGATGGTCGCTCTAGTGAATAAGTGATGATGTTGTAGTTGGCCTTCTCCGTTGAGCTTGGCTCTATGCACTTTTCTGGCTCACAGCCGCCCACGCTGTACGGCTCGTTTGCTGTCTTGCATTTTGTCACGGTGGCGTTGCCCTTGTAGCCATCAGCGCAGATTGCACCGACGTCAAACTGCTTCCTCAACATGGACCTCTCAAACCTGGACTTTGGGAGGGCCGATTGATACCACTACTCACAATACGGCTAGTGTCGAACCAGAGAGGAAAACTACAACGGCACAGGCAAGACACACGACATAGCCCTCATCTGCGGTCTTCTTTGGAGAAGTGCACAAGGAAGGGCAGCCCTCCAGGATGAAGGGATGGCCATCTTCGGAGCACTTCTTGGCCTTGCCAGTCCCAACTCCATTCTTGCATCTCGCCGTAACGCTGAAGGAGGGTGCATCCGTGCTGTAGATGGTCAAGGCATACGCAGCCCGATCTTCGGCGCTGGGAAGTACGCACTTCTTGGGCTCACAGCCACTTAGAACGTAAGGCTGTCTGGCCGAAGGACACTTCGCAACTTTAGCAGTCCCCTTGTAATCCGGCATGCACAGAGCATCGACTGTGAACTCGTCCATCACCAGCTTCTTTTCCACCCTGGGGATTAGGCAAACTGCGAGGATGAGGGAAGCTGGAAAAGAAATTCTGGTGTCTGTGTTTTGCCCTACTAAACAAGGCAGGCCAGGCCACACGGTATAGCCATCGTCGGCCGCTCGCTTGGGAGAGGCACATGCATCTTTGCAGCCCTCCAGCACAAAGGGCCCACCGTCGTAGGCACACTCGCTGGCTGTTGCGTTGAGGAAGCCGTGCTTGCATCGAGCTGTCACACTGAAGGAGGGCCGCTTCAGGGAAAAGATGGTGTAGTCATAGTTTGCTGAGTCTTGCACACTCGGTTCCACGCAGGTCTCAGGGACGCAGCCAGTCAAGGAATAAGGCTCGTCTGCTTTCGAGCACTCCGTGACTTTCGCGAAGCCCCTGTAGCCCTTTGCACACTCGGCTGTCACTTCGAAGTTGTGACGCATCTTCGACTGCTCATACCTGCAAGCTACTAGTTACTAGTCTGCCTTTGTCACATCTCATGCTTTCACGGGTTCGCAGTGCAGGAACCGAGCTACTGTAGCTTACGACCGTACCCTGGTACCCGAGACAAAATATAAACAACATGGACGATGTTTAAGCCTGACAAAGCACACGATGTATCCGTGGCCCAAGTCCTCTCTCGGGGAAGCGCACTCACCGATGTAACAGCCCTCCAGCGTGTAGGGCTCGCCGTCCTTCGTACATTCTTTGGCTTTGCCATGGCCAATTCCACTGGTGCACTTGAGAGAGACGCTAAAGCTGGGCCGCTCCAGTGAGAAAACCGTCAGGTCGTATCCCTCCATATCACGAGCGGTCGGCTCTGTGCATTTCTCCGGCTCGCAGCCACCCAGAGAGTATGGCTCGTCGACGTCCTTGCACACAGCCACCGAGGCCTTGCCTTTGTATCCAGCGGCGCACTTCGCCGTCACATCGAAGGAATTCACGATCATCGATGCTTCGTACCTGAACTTGGCTTAACGATACGGGGGAGACCTGAGAGTCGCTACCAGTCTGAGGGGAGCAGTATTGCAAACAGTGCAAGCAGGTCACACCACATAGCCCCCACTCGCCGCGTTGCTTGGAGAAGTGCACTGTCCGGGAACACATCCCTCCAGGGTGAACTCATCACCATCATCTTTGCACGGGACTGCTCGAACCACCTCACCCTTCTTTTGATGGGTCTTGCATCTAGCAGAGACACTGAAGCTGGGGAGTTCCAGCGAATGCACTGTGAGGTCATAGGATGTCATCTCGACTTCACGCGGCTCTACGCATTTCATGGGTTCACATCCAGACAGGATGTACGGCGTCTGGTCCTCGGCACACATTTCGACCTTGGCATGGCCCTTGTAGCCTTGGGCACAACGCGCTGTCACCTCGAAGTGGTTCGTTTGTCGAGATCCCTCATACCTCAGAGCCATGCGCAGCTTTGTCAACATGTACTGTCAAGAAACAGGACTCACGAAACTTCCATCCCTCCACCAAGCTGCACGACATATCCGTCGTCCTTCTTCGCCTTTGGTGACAAACACTCCAGAGGCTGACACCCCTCCAGCCGGTAGGGCTGGCCGTCCTCCTCGCACTCAACTGCCCTCGGGATGCCAGCCTTCTCACCCTTGCAACGAACACCCACGCTGAAGCTGGGCATCTCCAGTGATCGCTCTGTCACCTCATATTGTACGTGCTCCTGGTGTATGTACGTTGGAGCCTTGCATGTCTTGGGCTTGCAGCCAGACAAAGTATAGGGCCCCTCATCAACTGTGCACGCGGAGACTTTGGCATGCCCAGTGTAGCCTTTCGCACAGGATGCTTGCACGTTGAAGGAGTTGGACATGATGGACCCCTCGTACCTGGTAGTTTCACGGCAACGGACACACAACGGGCACGCTCACGCTCGCATAAACAACATACAAATGCACGAAGATACAGCTTGTGGTGTTCTCACTAAACTGATCTAAGACTAGCCCTTCACTTTAGTTGAAGAGCAACCTTGGATGCCTCAACCGACAGGTCTAATTAATGCAAGCTGCACAATATAGCCGTCGCTCACCCCTCCTTTCGGAGACGTGCACTGCAGTCCCATGCAACCTTCCAGCCCAAACGGCTTGCCATCTCCATCACAGGCTGACGCTTTGGGAGTGCTGGTTTGCCCTCCCTTGCACTGCACCTCTACATCAAAACTTGGTCGTTCCAGCGAGTTAACCTTGATCTCGTACTTGTGGCTAATCTCGTCCGGTGGTATCGCGCACTTCTCGGGCACACAGCCTGAGACCGAGTAGGGCTCACCGGCCAAAGTGCACTGGGTCACGACAGGCACACCCATGTAGCCCTCGCCACATTCGACCTTCACGTCGAAAACTGAAACCAGAAGGTTGCTCTCTGTCCTGAGCTTAGGCTCTGCAGAGGCAGCAGTGAGTACTGTTCACTCCTGCACACTGGAAAGACTTTCGACAGCAGGTATGCTGTCACCTAGTGCAGCGATGCAGGCAAGCAGCACCACATGCCCCTTGGGGATAACGTCTGGCTTTGTGCAATGCTGCTTGCATCCCGTCAGTGTGTAAGGCTGCCCATCCTTCTTGCAAGAGATGGACTTCGCTGGCGTGCCGACATCAGCACACCGCGCAGTGACGCTGTAGCTTGGTAGCTCTAAGGACGTCTCTGTGACCAGGTAGTTGACCAGAGAGTCTGCGTCTGGTGTTGTACACTTCTCAGGAACGCAACCGGCTAAGCCGTAGGGCTTGTCGTGCTCGATGCACTCGGTGGCCACGGGCTTGCCAATGTATCCTGCGGCGCATTTTGCTGATACCTGGAACTCACGCATGAGCTTGGAGTTCTCCGTCCTGAGCACAAGGCACTGTCGTGCAAGGGCTTGCACATTCAGCGACAGGTGATAGCTTCATCCAAGACACACAACGTAGCCTTCTGTCTGCGCAGGTGTTGCGCAGACTGGAGGTGCACAACCCTTCAGGGTGTACGCATGGTCATGGTCGGTACACACTTTCGCGGTGCCGGTCCCTCCATATTTGCACCTCAAGGTCGCCGTGGGTGCATGATCTCACACACACACACACTCATAAAACATAATGAAGCTGCATTAGCTGTAACGTCTCGGACTGAAAGTGCACACACCTTTACATCGGCACCTCACGCCCACTTTGAAGGTCGGGATATCCAAGGAAGACTCTGTAAGGTCATAATCCGTCTTTCCGATTCCGACGGGAGCTTTGCAAGTCTTCGGCTCGCAGCCCGTGAGGGTGAAAGCTTCTCCGGGCTGGGTGCAACGGTGGACCACCCCGAGTCCCATAAATCCTGCGGAACAATCGGCAGAGACCTTGAAGGATCGGAAGTGCCGGTCCTTCTCGTACCTTGGTCTCATCTGTCTGTGCAACAGTTCTGATCTTCTCTGTGACTGCATGGCGGAAGCAAATGGAAAGGCAGGCACCCCGATCTCTTATGCATGCAGGGTGCACTGTGTACCCAGTTTCCTGCGTGCGATGGGGAGACTCACAGGAGGCCTCGTCGCAACCCTTCAGCGTGTAGGGCTCGCCGTCGAAGATGCAAGGGACAACCTCCCCGGCCATGCCTCCCTTCAGACATGTGGCCGACACTGCGAAAGTTGGCTTCTCAAGGGAGGTCTCCTTCACCACATAATCCTTTTTGGCCTCTGCAGTGGGTGCAATGCACTTCATGGGCCTGCAGCCGGAAACGCTGTAGGCCGTCAGTGGCTTCGAGCAGGCGCTGACGACAGGCTTCCCGACATAGTCTGGGGCACAGGACACCTCCACTGGTCCACACCAAAGAAGCTCTATTCAGATTCCTAGACAAGCAAAGCGTCATGTGACATGTGCTTGCGGATGCTTGTCTTTCTCAGGACGCCTCCACATCGAAGTCAGGCATCAGGAGGTTCTTCTCATGCCTCGGGTCTCGGGTTTCGGGTCTCAAGCTGCGAGAGGAGAACTAGAAGACAAGGAAAAGCCATGCCAGCTGCTTTCTAAAACACACGATGTAGCCCTGCTCCACACCCAAGGAGGTGGACTCGCAATTCAGGAAACAACCCTCCACCTTGAAGGGCTCGAGGTGGTTGGAGCAAGCGGTCACCTTCCCCTCCGTGACTTTCCCATTGGGACGGTATTTGCACCGTGGCACAACACTGAAGAAGGGCCTCTCGAGGGACTTCACCTCCAAGTCGTAAGCCTGTAGCTCTTCCTTGCTAGGCATCACACACTTCGCTGGTTCGCAACCTCGGGCTCATGATGAAATGCCGACGCAGGACAAGGGCAAGAAGACCTAAACAAAAGCCTGCGTCGCATTGCTGGCATGGATTACACGGTTATACAACTATATGCAGAAGGACGGAGATCTGATGCTTCGCAAGCGACCGGTGAGGTTGTAGACTTCCTCGTGGGACTCGCAGGGGGTGACCTTGGGCGTGCCGAGGAACTTGTCGAGGCACTCTGCCTTCACGTTGAAGTCTGGCAGCTGCTTCGAATTCTCGAACCTTGGATTCACAAGAACCTCAAGCCCCCCTCAATTAAAAGAAAGGAACAAAAAAACAGCCGAGAAGCACCATGTAGCCGCTGCTGGTGAGGTTTCGCGGCGACTTGCACTCCACAGGCTCACAACCCTGCAAAACTGTTGCATTCACGAAGCTTGTGTTAAGTCCTCCCACCCCTGCCCCCGATGTTCCCCTAGTCCCCTGCCTCGATGGCATATGGCAGATTCGGGCCCTTGCAAACACTCACCTTGGGAGTGCCGAAGTATCCCGCGGCACACTTCGCTGTGACGCTGAACATGTTGGGCGCCCGATGCAAGTTGCTCTCTGTGATGACATAGCCTTACACAAACTTCGAATCATGTCGGCACTCTGCATCTACACTCTGACAAAAAAAACAACGGGCTCCAAGGCAGTCCAAGAACCTGCAGTGTCATCCCCGACTGGTGAGGCACAGAATTGCTTGGTGCATCCGCCGATTGTGTATGACGTATTGTGAGCCTCACAGATCTTGACTTCTGGCGTCCCCCCGAAACCGTCCTCACAGTCTGCATGGACCTCGAAGTCCAGCTTTTGCAGTGATTTCTCAAAGACAATTAAGCCATCTTCACTGCTTCGGGCGGCCGACGTACACTTGAAAGGTACGCAGCCATCGACGGAATATGCCGTGCCGTGTCCGGGGCAGGTCTTCACCGAAGCGACGCCCGTGTAGTTCTCTGCGCAAGACACCTTCACATCCAACTTCAGCATCTTCAGCGACGTCTCCTTGTCCACGGTGTAGCCGATGAGCTGCGGGGCCGCTGGCTTTGTGCAGAAGGGGATGGAGCAACCCTTCACGGAGTACTTGCTGTACTTTGAGGCGCAAACATGGGTGGTAGCATTCCCGAGCGCATCGTCCGCGCATGTGGCCGAGACGTTGAAGGTGGGGACTTCTAGGCTAACTTCTTTGATCTTGTAGGCCACAGTGTCCGAAGCATCTGGCGAAATGCAAGGCTCTGGCTGGCAGCCAGAGAGCTTGTAGCTCTCGTGGTGTGCCATGCAAGGCGCCACCACAGGAGTGCCATAGAAGCCAGCAGCGCATGTGGCCGTCACCTGGAAGCTTGGTCGCTCGAGAGAGCCTTCAACCACAGTGTAGCCCACAGTGCTAGCCGGTGCATTGCAGATTTCCGGCACGCAACCGTCCAAAGCATAAGGCTTGCCGTCCTCTTGGCAAGCCACAGTCTTAGGCGTGCCCATATACTTGTCCGCGCAAGAGGCATCCACCTGGAAGTCCAGCTGAGTCTTCACGTTTTCAACGACCAGGTGGCCAGCCGGCAGCACCGGAGAGGTGCACATGATCTTCCGGCAACCGGCGAAGCTGTATGGCAGCGCGTGGTTTTTGCACACGCCGACCTTGGGAGAACCAGTGTAACCCTCATCGCAGCCGATGTCCACCTGGAAAGTTGTAATTTGAAGTGACTCTTCGGCAAAGACCTTGTAGCCTGCTGGAGGGTCTTTGCTCATGGACTCGCACACTTCATGTTCGCAACCCTCAAGCTTGTAATACTCTCCGTGCTTGGTGCAAGGCCGCACACTGATCTTGCCCTTGGGAACGGTAGACTCGTTCATGTAACCGGGATGGCAGCGGGCATTGACGGTGAAGCTCGGCACCTCCAGAGAGCCTTCCTTGACCAAAACGATGTCTCGCGGCACATTGCCGACCCGGGATTTGCAGACCTTCACGCTGCAGCCTTCCAGCGTGTACGGCAGCCCCTCGCTCTTGCAGGCCTTGGCCACGGGGGTGCCATAGTAGCCGGCAGCACACTCCGTCTTCACTCCAAAGCTGAGCTGCTCCAGGGAAGTCTCGGCCTTGACGATGTATCCAGTGGGTGGGGCCAGTGCCATGGACGCGCAGACAATGGGATGGCACCCGGTCAAAGTGTAAGCCGTCTGGTGCGAGCTGCAGGAAGCCACCTGGGCTGTTCCGTGGTAGCCTGGCGCACAGCTGGCTTTCACGCCAAAGCTATGCACTGTGAGCGACGACTCCGTGTTCACCACATACCCTTCTGGAGGAGTGTCTTTCAGGGAAGTGCAGACCATGGGCGCGCAGCCCGACAGTGTGAAAGGCTTCCTATGCTCGGAGCAAGGCTCAACGACGACTTCGCCGTACCATCCCGCCGCACACTTGGCGCTGACGTTCCAGCTTGTGAGTCTCCGGGAGGACTCGTGGACAATGGCAAAACCCTTAGAGGTCTGGGCCGTGCTGCATTCAATCTCATGGCAGCCACCGAAGGTGTATGGCCTCCCGTGTGCAGTGCAGCGTGTGACACTGGGGGTCCCCGTGTAGCCGGCTGCACAGTCGATTTCGACGCTGAAGTGGGGCCTGGTCAAGGAGGCTACAGTGATGGAATAGCCCTCTTTCTCTGCATCTGTGGGCTCTGTGCAGGTCTCAGGCTTGCAGCCCGACACTGTGAAGGGGAGGTCATGACCACTGCACGCCGAGACAACCGGGCTCCCCATGTAGTCCACGGCACATGTCGCGGAGACATCAAAGCTTGGCCTTTCAAGCGACTTCTCTGTGACCACATAGCCCTCGGTAGCACCCTTCGAAGGCTTGGTGCAAAGCTGGGGAAAGCAGCCGTGCAGGGTGTAGGGCTCGTCGGCTTTGGAACAATCCGTCACACTCGCAGCTCCTGTGTAGTTCAAAGCACATTTGACTTCCACATTAAAGCTGCGCATCTCAAGGGACTTCTCCTCAGTAATTGTGTAAGCCTTGATGTTAGCGGGTCTGGAGCAGACCGAAGGCTTGCAACCGGACAGGTTGAAGACCCGGTCGTGCTGCGCACAGGCTGTCACCACAGGAGAACCCTCGTAAAGCCGGGCACATTTGGCGGTGACTGCGAAGCTCGGGCGCTGCAGCGACTCCACCTGAGTGACGTAACCTCGGCGCACGCAAACCCTGCAGACCCTGGGCCTTCCTACACCCGGCATCGCTGATGCAGACTGAGGCAAGGACCGACCACATCAAGCGGCTCGAGACATGTTTCCGGGGAGCAACCCGAGAGGACATACTCGCCAAGGTGGTCCGAGCAGGCAGCCGCCGCCGGTGTGCCCATGTACTTGGCTGCACATTCTACGGAAACATCCAGCGTGGGCATGTCCAGCGAAGCCTCCTTAACAATGGAGTAGCCCACCTTGCTCTTCGGTGCAACGCACTTCTTCGGATCACAGCCAGAGACACTGTAGGAGCCGCTTTGAGTGGAGCACGCCGTGGCACCAGGATCTCCCATGTAGCCAGAGGCACACTCGACGTCGACTTGGAAGTCCGGAACCTCCAAGTTCTCGGATGTGATCTTGTAGCCCGTCGGCGCAGATGCCATGTGAGATGCACATGTCATTGGCTCACAGCCAGACAGGACGTACTCCCCATCATCATCATCGCACTCTTCGACCAGTGCTTCGCCAACGTAGTTCTTCGAGCAGCTAGCCTTCACGACGAACCCAGGGATTTCAAGATCGATTTCCTTAATGTCGTACCCAACCTGCTTCTGAGCAGAAGGGCTGATACAGTACTCACGATGTGTACAGCCGTGAAGTTCGTAAGGCTCGTTCATCTTCTTGCAAACGTGTGCTGTCGGGTCGCCTTTGAAGGACTCGTGACATTTGACGTTGATCTCGAAGCTACGCATGCTGGTGGAGACCTCTGTCACGTCATAACCGTGGCCCTTGATTTTCTTCGAGGTAGAGCAGTGCTTCTCGACACATCCAGTCAATCCGTATGGAGTGTTGTGCACCGAACAAGGTGTGACCTTTGGCGTGCCCGCGAAAAAATCGTCACAAGCTGCAGACACGTTCCACTGGTAGATTGCCCTGGAAAGCTCAGTAACCTGATACCCATCCATGCTGATCGGAGTAGAACAAACGATCGGGAAGCATCCCAGGAGTGTGTACGGAGCACCAGAAATCGAGCAGACTGTGGCCTTTGGCGAGCCATAAAAGCCAGGAGCGCAGGCAACCTTGACGCTAAAGGCAGCGGTCTGGTTCAGGGACTCCTCAGTCACATCGTATCCTTCTAACTTTGGAGTGATGCAGATCTTCTCCGCCACCTGGTCGATGGCCATGTCTGCCATTGCCGCAGCCTGATCATCCGACATGCCATGGGCTTTCGCCACCTTGAGGATGACGTGCCGGACAAGCGCCAGGGCTTTGGGCTCGTTCAAACCCTTCTCCTTGCCAAGCTCCACGGTGTGTCGTGCTGCCCAGAGGACCTGAAAACTCAGGGCTGGGTTGACCGCTGCTTCTGCTACCTCGCCCACGCTCTCGGACAACCCTGTGCCACAACATTAGACGCTCCTATGTATAGGGGAGACAGCGCCTGCGTCTGGCATGCGGAAACCAATGCATGCCTCCACGGCTTCGCGAAACCCCTTGTGACGCTGTTGCGAGCTTTGACATGGTGAGGCACAAGAAACATGCACAGCGGTCTTTGATCTTTGAGGTGTTATCTGCGCATGCTGATGTGACTCGATGCTTCGCGTCTGGCAGCACTTTCCGCACTGATGCACCGTCAACATGTGCACGACGTAAAGTTAGAAAGAAAAGTGTCTGCCGATGCAGCATCATCGGCATCATTGCCGCTAGCTTTCCCACCCTTGACAACTAGAATGCCCGAGCTTGGCAGCACTGCTTTGTTCGGGCCGTCGTGTGACACAGACAGTTTGATTACCCGAACACGTGGAGACAATGGGAGTACGAGGCATGACAATGCATTGCCTTTCTGCAGACGTTCTCCAAGTCATGTCATGCCCGAGCCAGTTCCGTGCAGAGCTTGTGTTTCTTGGATAATCGTCGACGACATCCTTTAGCATTCAATCCATTTTGCCGCCTGATCTTGCTGGCTCCTCTTACATAGTATTTTGTTCCTATGTTCAGACTGCAAAGGCAGTTGCCTGGCGCAGATTAAGCCTCGAACATTTGTGGCGTACGCAAGCGGAGGTTTTTGGGACAGTTCTAGAAAGAAGAGATCTGAGTGAGTTTACAAGTTGACAGACACTTGGGAGCCCCCGCAGCGGGATCTCCCGATGCTATTTGCTTACTTGGGGCCTCGGAACCGCTGAGACCCCCGGCCAAAAGTCCCGATCCCGACGCCCCCACCCAAATGCAGCTACTACAGCCACTGCTGGAAGCCGTACTATCCGAAAAAGGATGAGAGGATGAGAGGGCTCTTGTAGGTTGCAGACCTCGTCTCGGACTGGCTGGCCGGCGGCACGAGAGGCATCGGAGGCCGCCAGGCCCGCCGATACCGCCTGCTCCTCCACGCTGCCCTCGGTGCTCTTTGTGGCCTTCACCGCAGCCTCCACGGCGACTTGGACTTGCACCTTCACTGGCTTCTTTTGCGCTCTTGCAACTGCTGCTGCCTTCGAGGCTGCATAGTTTCCGGCATCCTGGGTAACCGCCTCGGCCGACGCGGCCTCGGCCTCCGTCTTGCTCATGCCGGCCGCGAGGGCTGATTTTACGGCTGCCGTCAACGCGGCTTCCTCGGCCATCTTTGCCGTTGCTTTGCTATGACCGCTGCTTTCGGCATCGGCCGTAGGGCCAAAGAAGCTGCTGGCCGCCTCCTCCACAGCCGCATAGGCAGCGTTGGCAGCAGCTTCCATCTGCTGTTGCGGAGTCTGCGCTGCCTTAACAGCCACAAGGGCAGCTTCGGCAGCCGCCATAGCAGCTTGCTCCTCCACCTTCAGACCCAGCGACCGCGCCATGAGTGCGGCGGCCCTTCCGGCGGCGGCTGCCTGATCTCGGACGATCTCACCACGTTGCTTGGCCATGAGAGCAGCCTCGATGGCCGCCACACGAACCTGTGCCAAGCGTGCCGGAAGATTCAGAAAGGCTCAGACTCGGCCGAACTTCGCATTTTCCTTGCGCCTGCATGGTGACATTTGTAGCATTGGCTTCGCTGGCGTCCTGCTTCGAAAGCAAAAAAGCCGTGGCAAGAGGAGTCGAGGGAAGTCTAAAGCGCGATTGATGAGTTTCACAGCCACAGGCCTGGCGCTCGTCCTGGCATGGTGCACACGGTGAACACAGCCAGCATATCGTATACCATCCGCATGTCGCATGCAGCTCCATTCCCTGCCTTGCACGTAACGGCTGCGTACGGGTTCTTTTTCTTGCATTGTCCACCGTCCACTTGCGTCGAACAGCAGCCCTGCCAAGCAGTCAGGAGTCACTTCTGCTAGGTGTCCATGGGATCAAGAGTGCAAGTCGAGTAGACGCCTCCGAATCGCAATACTTGCAGGGCAAGCCACCGCAAAATCCACAGTCCTCAGACAGAGTGAACAGTGAGTGGGTGCCAAGCATGCACAAAACGACTGACAGCCAGCATCGCCAGTGATGAGCCCAATGCCTGAGGGCGCTTGTCCAAACCACGAGCGTTGTCAGCAGCTGCCTGCACCGAGAAAGCATCCGCGTCAGAGCGTCCCACAACGCCCGAAGTCTCTTCTTGGCTGAGCATCGAGCAGGTGGCTTCGTGCAGCATGTTGCCACACAGGCCTTCGGCGAGCTGCAGAAGTCCAAGGAGAACAGCGCCGACCCCACGGCCCAACGCCCACGACGTGCCTTCACATCTACCGGTGGAGCATGGTTGGAGTCCTCATACTCGCTCACTGCCGGAAGGGGGTAGCCAGTCGGGCTCGACTCAGGGCCGGTGTAGTACTTCTCCACCTGGGTGCCCAAACACGGTCCCAAGAAAACGGTCAGAGCATGCAAAACGGAGCCCTGTGTGCCGTACTCGGACCCGTGCGTATGGTTTGGTGCCCGGCATGTCGGCATCGTCACCCGGCTTCAGATGGTTGCCGCAATTTTGGATGTCGTTCTTGGACGGCACCACCTGGCCAGCACCAAAGATAGAACGAGGCGCAGCATGCCGTCAGAGCCCCTCCTCGGAACACTGCGGGAATAGCAGCGCGTGGCTCCCTGGGTCTGTTACCGTCTCACGCATCCGGACGGAGCAACAGTGACGCGTCCAAGGCTGCGCACGCTTTGGAGGATTGTTGAGACACCTCAGGCCATGGCGCACCTCACCATGCCTTCAGCTCACGTCGCAAGTACGGGCTCCGCGCTTTGCCACCTGCGTGGTGCTGTTGGGCTTTGTCACAGCATCAAGGATGCATTCGATCCTCGGTTAACTTTGCCGGCCAAGTAGCACTAACAGCACATGACAGCACTCGATGCAAACGAAAACTGAATGCCGACAAGCCCAAGCCCTGGACTGCTCGATCATGATCAGCTCCTCCTGGAGGACCTACAAACATCTCAACTCATCGATTCACTTGCGGGGCTTGGAGAGCATGAGGGCGTGGCCCCTTCTTTGCCAGAGGCACCACACATGGTCTGCTTGATCGTCTTCCTGATTACAGCGACACGAACAGCTGCCGACTTTCTTACAGATGCAAAAGTGCTAGGAACTAGTTGAAAAAAATGCTGTCCAGGACGATTCCGCGGTGGTAAAGCACCTGACGACTACAGAATCACCACCCAGCTGCTTGCAATCCACAGCACAAAACTGCCGGAGGCACGTGTCATAGTCAGAGCACTTGGTATGCCTAGCCAACGCCTGCTGACCTCGCAGGTGCAAAGTCAATCCTGACCGCTTCTAGCCCGAAAAATATGCATTCACATGTGTAGGATGCAGACAGGCCATACCATCCAAGCTGTCCTCACTAGAGTGGTCGTGCGCACAGTGGCTTCAAGTCGCACCATGTGCTGCCGCCGCAAGTACAATACATATGGCCTGTAATGTATCACACTGCTTGGAGATGTTGAAGAAGTCCTTTCTCGTTCCCAAGCAGACCAGTAGCACAGTAACTTACTGCGCTGAAGGCAAGTGTGCCCAGCCACACAGCCCAGCCTCGAGCTTCGAGCTGCAGTCGGCCTTCTCAGCCTCGCAGTCAAAACCACTCTGCCTTCCCAGACCCCCGGAAGCCAAAAACCTTTTTGCCGACCTCAGCTGTAGCCGTGGCTTTCTTGCAAAGGGCCTGGGGATTTTGATGTTTGGACGTCGCGGAAGAAGACTGCTTCTGTCGGCCTCCGCAGTCAGATACGCCTCGAGCTTCTTGTCCCAGAAGTTGAACTGAGCCTCAGCGGAAGACTCACACGCTCATGCAAGCAGTGCGGTGTTCACTGAGGCCGAGGCCAGCAGGTAGCCTTCTGTGTCCTTAAGGCTCCAGGCACGCCAGATCCCCTCACCTCATGGCCAGGCAGAGCCCGCTGCCACATCACCAAGGTCCACCAAGCCGGAGGGATCCGCATCCGGAGCCTCCCGACAACCGAGAGTGCTCAGCTTTGTGGCTCTGGGCTCTTGGGCGTCGGGCTGTGTTGGAGAAGATCTCGAGCTGAGAATCACACTGCTTCTGCCTCAAGACAACAAATACGCTGCATGCAGGCCACAAGCAACTCACCCCAGACCAGACGTAGGCCGTAAGAGCCATGCCATGCACCAGTTGACTTTGCAGACCTCGGCTGCGAGAGAACTTGGCCCCATGCCTGAGGCTTTTGTCGCCGGCTTGGCTTCCTGCACGGTGCTGTAAAACTTTGTGAAGTTGTCGTCGCAGGCGGCCTTCACAGCTTCCCACCTGACGCTCGCCAACGGGTGTCATTGACAGCTCAGACGTCAGATCTTCATCAATCACGCACGGCGCCTCATCCTCTCATCGTCGATGCACGTGTCATACAGCAGCTTCTTGTCGTTCTGCAGAGCAGGGCCGATTCAGGTTTCTCCCCAAGGGAGGAAGAGCAGGGAGCCCAGGAAATGTTCCAAGGGCCAGCAGGAGCAAGCAGTTCCGTTTTTCGCATGAAGAGAAGCGAGGCGTGATGCCTGCGTCTGTCGGCAATCATTGTGGGCTTTCTTGTCAATATCAAGTCCACCTGAATCAGTCAATGCAGGAGTAGAATTCGTTTGGCATCGGCGTTTTTGATTCCATGAACAACGCAGCAAGGTCACTGTACGCTTGCCCAGCGTAGCTGCCGCCAACCAGTATCTAGGTGACAAGCAGGAGCACCTATCGTTTATGAAATGCAGCAATTCCTCAGAGCCAAACCGCATTCGGCCAGGCCAGGCCTCCAAGCACCAAGCATGTACTGAGGCATGCGACCCGCTGGGCTTAAAGGCGAGCCTGACGACAAGGACGACAAACAAGTATCGAACTGCTTGAAGTGGAGTCCCATGACGGACTGGCAACCAAGGGCTCAAGCATGTCACGGCCCTGTCCGTATCATGTTGGTGATGGCCTTGTCAGCGTCATGCTGTTCGGCGAGAGAAGATCTCATGGTAGTGTTGATCATCTCAATAACCTGATCGGCGCCACGCAAGAGCTGTGCTAATGGCATCCAAGGCAGTGCCAGCACCGGCTGTATGCTCACACGATTAATACAAGCAGCTGTAGACATGTAGAAACTCATGCTCTTTCCCGCTGGGACTGCTCTGTCGGTGCCCTCTTCGTGGGCCATTTCTATGAGAGCCTCGGTATCAGAGCAAGTAGGTGGCCCAACAACTGGGACGCGTTGAGAAACTAGGCTCGCGACATGCTTCACTTTTTGCAGCTCTTTCATCCGATCTTCATGGAATTGGCCACCGATCTCCCGGGGAAAGACATTCTGCAAGAGCAAGAGAGCTCAGGAGCAAGGCGTGCCTTATGGCGCCCTTTGGCACCATCACTGAGGGTGACCTGGTCTGACCTTTTGGAATTGCGAGGTGCACGGCTGCGGCGGCTACGGGGCAAGGCACTGAGGGAAAAGCGACAACTGCAAGAAGGCTTCAGAACTTCTTGCTATTGGTAGCTCCTCAGCTTCGGCTCACCAAAGTAGAGGAGCAAACACCGACAAAGCGGGCTCTGCGTCTCCGGCCATCGACGCTTCTCCTGCATGGCGCCGACTGCCTGGCACCAGAGACTTGCTTGAAAATTGGCGCTTTTGTATGGGAATTTGCTTGCAGAACCTGAAGGCTGAAGCATGTTTTGCAACAGACTGCTTTGCAAAATCCCGGCAACAACAGATGACAGAAACTAGGACCTTTGAACGCCAGCGCTGGCGCCAGGAAGAGAACAAAGGAGACCACAAGCTTCCTGGCCGTAAGACTTGTATCTTGGCTTGCATTGCACGGGCCAGCTGAGCAGTAATCTGGCTGGCGCACATTATGTCAAGCCACGCTTAACAACGTGGGAAAAAAGGTTGCCAACACACGGATCAAGCGAATGGCCGGTGTGGTAACCTTGCAAACTTGAGTGGAAGAGCTGAGGACAAGACACACGGTCTCCAACTTAAAACGATACAAGTGTACACCGTGGGCTAAGCTCGAGACCCAAGCAAGACTATCTGGAAAGAGGGGTGTGGATCAGCGCACATGACGCTGTCCCCCTCACTTGGAAGCCAAAGCAGCCGCAAAGTCAACAAGGCAGCACTCAAACCTGCGCAGCTGCATCCGGATCGGTTACTCATGGTGCCGAACAAACCCTGATGAGACCCAGATCTTCAGTTCCCGAACACAGATCTTTTCGAGCACGTGTGGCCCTTGACATACCAGGGACGTTCGGTCCCGAAGCATTTCACTTTCTGCAGAAGTGCGCCTTCAACAGGTGCCCAAAACCTTGCACGACTGAACGAGGCTCGCACCTGCAGCTGTGACAGCGTGCACGGCCTCCGCGCCCGTTTTCTCTGACACAGGCTTTGTTGCATCAATGATGACAGACGTCTCGAAATCACGACGCAAGGCCTGCAACGTGGTGTATTTCACGCAGTAGTCCAAAGCGAGTCCGGCCACATAAACATGCTGAATGCCCAGCTTTGTGAGGGTGCTTCTCAATGAGTTTTCCTCGATTCGTTTCATGATCGACTCCTTCTTGCCGGACAAGTACATGCCATAGTTGTTCGTGAAGGCACCGTAGCTGTCGACGACGGTCGTCAGCCCCTTACGAATGATGAAGGCACTACTCGGCACGATGACATCGTCATGGATGTGTTGTCCCCAAGTACCTTGAATGCAATGGTCTGGCCAGAGTTCTTGCGAAAACTGGACACGCACGTCATTGGCGGAGCAATCGGCTGCAGATTCCTTATAGATTGACACGTATTCCTCACCGCAAACCTCCTCGAAACCGGTGTATGCCATATCGATGGATTCGAAAGGAGACAGATTGAAGGGACTGTTGGAAGCGAACGAGATATGGTTGGCCGGATGGAAATCCGTTGTGAAGCCCACATAATCCCACTCTTTCAGACCACTCAGCTTGTTAATGGTCGGGATGATGGACTCTCCACCGGCTACAGGCAGTGTTCCGTTAATGAAATCGTTCTGCATGTCAATAACAAGCAGCGCCGATTTCGGCGGTACCGTCATGTCCTTCCCATTTCCCACGGAATGGCGCTGTATGAGGGCGGCTTCTTCGGTCCCGGCAGTGCAGGCAATTCCTTGGATGTAACGGGTGTGGAAAACAGTGTCGAGCCACGGTTTCAAGGACTAGCTAATCCGTCAATGCTCTCTTGACTTCAACTGAAAAAGAAAGCTGACTCGCAGGCTGGAAACCTTCCTCGCCACTAGCATAGCTCACTTGGACAGAAGCAGCCGTCACGAGGGCGAAGCCAAGCGAAAACGCTGGGAAACCCCGCCGCATCATGGCACGAGCGCGAGCTAACGACGAACGGCCGTTTCTTGCACGAGTACTTGTGACCCGGCCAGCTGGGCGCTGGGTGCTCGGCTTGGAAAAGCTGCGACGAGATGGACGCGGTATGCAAGCTCCTTTTAGGGGACAAAAATATCTGGTTAAAAAGCTACACCGGGCAGAAGAACGGTACATGAATCATCGACAACGACAGCGGGTTTTGTGAATCTTTCACCGGTAACCTTCTACGTCCTTCCCGCACTTCTCCTCCCCTTCTGTCGAGCCCCTGAAGAACCAAGGAGAGTTTGACAACCTTCCCTCCTTGGCCTCAGTGCAATACCTTCCTCTCATGTCTCCGATGCTCAGTCCACAAGCTCCGCGCGTTTGATGTGATCATGGCGCATCTGCACACAGAAAACTTACCCACAGTCGGGCGTGGCTCCGAACGAAGTGTGCAGCATCTTGGGAATTTCTCTGACAGCGCTCTGTTGGGACGCCTTGTGGCCGGTTGAAGATCCTGAGATGTCCTTGGAGGTACAAAGGGAGGGATGATTCCTAAACCTCTTAGTGAAATAGGGGGGGAATATGCCTTCAAGTATGATGGGGATCCTCAACAAAGAACCAAGGATACTGGAGTCTGAGCTTTTTGGCTGGGAGTCAAGCTTCAGCTCCACGCACCTGTAGTTATGGCGCATGCGCAGAAAACTTACCCGCAGTTGGGCGTGGCTCTATTGCGGTTTTCCCTGACAGCGCTCTGTTCCGAGGTGGAGTCCGTTTGCCTCAGCCTTCTCCTCAACAAGGAGAAGAGAACGCCTTCTTATGACCGATCGGAGATTAGAGGTTTAAGGGTTTAGGGTTTAGGGGTTAAGGGTTACAGGTTCAAGGTTTTTAAGTTTTAAGGGGCTTCGGGGTTCAGGATTTTAAGGTTTAGGAGCCGGTGGGTTTAGGGTGTTGGGGCTCAGATTTTGGGATTTGTGTGTTGTTTTTGTTGTTTGTTTGTTGGCGTTTTTTTTGTGTGTGTGTGCGTGTGTGTCTGTGTCCTTGCGTTTGGTTGTCAGTGTGTCTGTGTATGTTATTGCTTTGTTTTGTGTGTGTCTTCGTGTGTTAAGTTCTTGTTATGGTGTTCATGTGCGGTATTCTGAATGATTTGGGTGTTAGTCTTACATGGTTCCTGATGATTTTGGTTATAAAAATATAAATATTTCTGTGGCTTTGGTTGGCGTTCCACGGTGTAAACTTGAAGTTTGCCTGAAGTTTGCCTGAAATCGAACTTCAAGCTGAGCGCTTCAAGTGTGATTGAAACTTCAAGCAATCCTTCAAGCAAACGTTTGGATTCAAGCTTCAGGTTTGCTCTTGAAGTTTCAATCCAAACCTCAGGTGTTGCTCGAAGTTTAAGTTGAAACTTCAGGTGTATCTGAAGTTTCAACTTAAACTTCAAGAGCAAACCTGAAGCTTGAATCCAAACTTCAGGCAAACTTCAAGCAAACGCATATGGACACTGAATAAATCCAGAAACATATTTACATATTTGTAGCCAAAAATATCACAAAACATTTGTACACTAAACAAACAAAGCCTCAGACCCTCTATTGTGTTTGATAGGATAACAACAAAAAACACAAAAAACACGAAGTGCCTGGTTATGGTGTCTATGTACCTATATATGCTAGCCCCACCCCCCTAAACCAACCTTGTACATGGAATCTTATCAATTTCAGAAGTCCAAAACTCACAGTACTTACTAGTTTTTTGAAATTCCGACAAATTGAAAAATTCCAAACAATTTTAAAAAAAAACTCCCAATGTTCTACAAATTCCCAAAAAAAATCAAAAATTCAAAAAAAATCCATAAACTTTTCAAATTAAAACATTTTTACAAAATTTGAAAAAAAAAAACCTAAAACAAAAAACTCCAAAAATTCTAAAAGAATTCCAAGAATTCCAAATCTAAGTTTTGGTATGAACTTTGAACGACAGAACCACGAAGGCGCTGCCGGCGGTGCGAGGGACGGTGACAAACTCCTGCATGAAGCAATGACAAAGCTCCTCAAAAAACAAATGTAAAAAGCCATGCGCCGGATACAGCAGTTTGGTTGGTAGCCAATCCAATGCAGTCAACGCAGTGCATGGACACGAAAGCCTGTGCAATTGAAATCAGATAAGAAATGTAGCTGGCGGTATATCTGCATCCTCGCTCCGAAAAAACGAGCTTGGCAAAAGCGGCACTCAATTTTTTGGAATTGTTGGAATTTTTGGAGTTTTTTGAATGTGTGGAATTTCTGAAATTTGTCGAGATTTTGGAAATTTTGGAATTTTCGGAATTTTCGAATTGTCGGAATCTAGAATTCTAGTATTTGAGAAAATAGTGCGGCAGTTGTTTGCATTTTGGAATTATTGGAAATACATGGATTGAGGTTGCTTTTTGTAAACATACCATTTCTTATATAGTCTCGGGTTTCTCATGTAAGATGTTGGTCCATAACCTTTACGATCATCAAACCTTCGTATGCCCACACCTTTTAATATATTAATATGAGCAGGATTAGATATAGGATAGACACTACAACTAAGATTGATACTCCTACGCAAGAAAAACTCATAGATAAAACCAATACTATTTCCAATATTGGCAGTACTATATACTCATAGTAATACTACCAGTAAAGCTAAAGTTGGTATTAATATTACAAATATGTTAATACTAATACTGCATTGATAGCAAAACTAATTCTAGTGTGAATACGAATGACCATACGACTACTTATAATCGCAGTCTTACTAGCAATATGACTACCCATACGAGTATACATGCTCATGCTTGTACCAATGCGAGTACATACATGAATACATAAATTACTCCTGCGAGTAAAACTATTCTTACTCTTATGATGCATAATATACATGTATTGATATTCGTACTCGAAATTCTTCTAAGATGTATATAATGTTAGTATTAGTTCTTACAAACATTTATTTCCAGATATTCCTACGAAGAAACATTTTCGTATTCATGTCAAAATTAATCTTAATACTACCATACAAAATGCCACTAATACTTGCACGAATACTGGGTTTTAATAATGAACACTAATACTCTCACGAATACTTATACTCATGGTAATGTTAAATACTATGAATATTTGTGTTCCTATGCATACTACTAATCCTATTCATATTACCAGAAATTTGAATACCAGTATACATACTTATGCGAATACTATTTTTATTGTGCTTATATCAATAGTAAACAATACTGTTACTATTCAAACCAATATAAATACTAATGCTGATATCAACGCAAATACACAAATGAATGTCAGTACTACTCAAGTGTAATAATATTAATATTCATCCTAGTACTAATTCTTACTAACATGTATTTTCAAATTGAGAATATTCCCACGAATAAACATGTAAAACAATGTAAATTTTAGTTTTGGTTTTAATATGAAAAACAAATGTCCTCATGTTGATTTCAGCACTAACACTTACGAAAAGATATACTTATAGCAATGTTACGACGAGAAATAAGACTACTTCTACGAATACAGCAATGATCAATCTCAATTTTGGAGGAGCACACAAGGTAGGGAAGTTAATTTGGCGAATTGCGTTTAGAGTTTCATGTAAGCCGCCGTGAACAGGTTCAAACCCAAATTCTAATGCCACCAAATGTACCGAAAGTCTTTTTTACTGGATGTCTTCGTGCAGAGTGGCGTCCAACCCAACAACAAGTCCCTGCAACGACATGGATGAGAGAGAATGTCAGCTCGGAGACGGAGCGCACATCTTTGCCGCGCGGTTGATTTACCGCGGGACTTGCGCGACTGTCATCCACACCGCGCGGTCAGCGTTGGCCGCACTGGTTCCCACGAAATCTAGAAGCAAAGTGAACAAAAGAGCAAAAGATAAAATGGTGAAACCAGCTGCACCAACAGACTTGGCCTGAGAGTTGTTCGCAATGCATACTTGCGGCCAAGGGAGGCTGCTCTACGTTTCTCCCACAAGCTACTCAAAATGAGGCTGACAGACGCCTAGATGTGAATCGGTTGTGGCTTCCGTTTTCAACTGAATTTGGTAAACACTTCCTTTTTCGCCTGCGCTTTTGGCACCACAGCATCCGAGCGGCGGAGTGGGAGAAGGCCATTGAAGCTAACACTGCAGATCGGTCCCGGCGTTGCTCGTGCGTTGGCCAATGCACCATTGCAGCTGACACCTGCTGCCCCCATCTGCCTCAAATGAGATTGCGGCGGCCAAAGTTCCTTTCCTTAGCAAGCCACCTTAAAAACATCCGGACCAGCTGCTGACACCTGCCGTTAAGGTCTTGCCCACCGTTCCAGATCTGATCGCCAAATGCTCCTTCTGGACTTGCCGGATGAAGCTGCTGGAAGGATGCAACGGAGACAGCACCAAAATGTTCAGGATGTTGCACACACAAAATTTTCGATTCCGATGTGCCCTGTCCCACTTCCGATGCTCGGCTTCCTCTGGAAACACTGCGAATCCGCATGGAAATCGGAATTTGGACTGTCGATGGTGGCTTCTTTGCTCCGAGCTCCTCCGTGTCAGACGTCACTTCGAACACTCACCTCCCTGACCGATCGCCAACCCGTCTTTCATGGACGTTCGCCGCGTTCCAGTTTCCGACTCTGGACCAGTTGGTTGCACTGATGCTTGACGTGGCCATCCGTCCTTCCGACCAAGGCTTTTTGTGCTTCCGTCACGCCGACTGTATCAAAGCATCACCTTGAACTTCGGTGCTCGCGTGTCCAGCTTCTTCTGGGCGTGCTGCGCGGGTCTGCTTGTCCGCCTTTCTCAAAAGCCTGCTCCTCGTCCGGCACTCCTCGTGGATTTTTGTCGATGACATCCTTGCTCTTTTTAACCGCTTTTCTGCTCCCCTGGGCCGCCTCCGTCTCATGATGCAGGCGTTTGGTTATCGATGAAAATTGCTTGGCGCTTCTGTGCCTTAAAGTTCCGATGAGCTGGCACAAAGAAGAGACTCTCTCCCCCGCCGTGGTATGGATCGGCTGGCAGATGGACTTCGAATGTTTCACAGTCCGTCTCGATCCATCCAAGCTCAACCGATTGGTTGACCTTGCCAATCACGTTCTTGCCTCCCACGTCGAGCGTCTCACAGGCAAGCTCCTCTGGCTTTCCTCCCTTTTCTGTTGCTTCTGGCCCTCGCTCCACTTTATGCGGACCAGCATGCTTTCACTCCGGTGTTTGCTGCGGTTCCCAGATAAGTGGCATTCTGTGACGCTCAACTGATTCTTCAGCGCTCCGTCGGCATTGCGGCCATCCTCCGGACTCTACATTGCTCCGTGTCGACCAAACAGCACATCCCGTCGTGACTTATGCCGCGTTGTCCAGGAGCAGAGACGCATTTGGGTGTAGTCCTCCTGCCCATCGCGCTCCTTCTGCCGTCCGATTCCTCCCACCAGGTCATCCGTGTGTGGCTGGATTTGGCCGCATCCGGCTCAGATGTCCGCTCTCCTTATCTTGCCGCCTTTTTTGAATGCACCGCTTTCGCCGATGCCTGTGCTGAAGCATCCTCCGTGGGCATGTGGTGGCTTCTCCGTCTGCCGAACGGCGAACAGCTGTTCTTTCAACTCGGCTTGCCAAGCCGCAAATGCTCCGTCTTTTCCCTTGGCTTCCGTCCGACTGTTCCCTGCAGTCGTACATCGCCACCTGGGAGCTCGCGTCACAGGCTGCTCTCCTGCTTCTGCTTCATCTTCTGGGCGAGGGCCACTGCCTTGCCATACTACTTTCCGCTCCGATCCGCCACGGAGTCGGCGTCATGGAAAGGTCTGTCGACGGCTCACGGCCTCTGTTCCGTGCTCCGTGTCTTCTTTACGCTACAGGAGCGCCTGCGCATCTCCGTCCAGGTGGATCATGTCCCCGGCATCTCCAACGACATTGCCGATGGCTTGAGCCGCGGCTCCGATCCGGCATCCTTTGCATTTTCACCGTCCGAGTCAGTGGATGTCGATTGGTCGATCATGGCTGCCGCTCCGTCCATGCGTTCTTTCCGTCAGCTGAGCCTTTCTCAGGCTTCGTTGCACCTTGAATTTTGTCCGGGGCCGTTGCTTGATGGTCTTTTGGTGCGGTTCCCAAGGAGGGTCAAGCATGCGGCTTGATCATCTTTGGTCCGACCGCCGCCAAAAGGACCAGGTCACCCTGATCTGAGTCCGTCCGTGACAGTGCCTCACCCGACCACCGGACTATCTGCATCGGTCACAAAAAGATCTGTGTGTGCGAGTGCTCTTTCCGACCGAGCGCACACCCCGTCTTTAGGGTAACGGACTAGTCCGCCCGAACTTTGCGAGATTAGTTGATTAGTTGTTTGTGGTTAAGTTAATTTTTTTCACAAACTGTAGGGTTGAGGCCTTGTCTACATAACCCTTGCGGTAAGTGTTTCATTTGTTTTTGCATTGGTTTTGGCTGTTAAGCGACTTCGTGTAGCTTTTGGTTTGTAGTTCTTTCAAGAAAAAGCTTTGCTTCGCTTTTTTGCTTTTGCAAAAATGTACGCGGCAAGTTTGCAAGCCATTGTCATCAAAACGTGAGGCTAACTAAGAGGTACTATTGAGCTAATGCTTGTCGATTTTGCACTGCAAAAATTTCATGCTGTAGCGCGTTGTTAGTTTTCGTGTTGTCATTATGTTTGGTGTGCCCGTGCTTGTGGTAGCAGCGGTCAGAAAAAAGACCCTGGAGGCCCAGAAAAAGATGCCTCGGGGTCCAAAAAAAGATCCGGGGTCAGCTACGAGATGTTTCGGGGCCGAGAAAAAGACCACATACTTCAGACCATTGGTGTCGAACAAAAGCTCGTAGTCTTTTTCTGGGCCTCGTCGCGGGGTTGGAAAAAAGACAGGGGGCGAAAAAAAAGACATGTCGGGGTCAAAAACGAAATAGACCAATCGCGCGGTCTGGAAAAAAAACATTTCGGGGTCGAAAAAAAGACCAGCCCGTTCCTTCCGGATACGGCGGGCTCTGGCAATCCGAAACCTGGCACTGTCAATCGTTGTGCGTCATTCCTAGAAAACTTCGGTGCTGGACAAGTTCGAGCCTTTAGGGTTTAAGCCATTCCCAAGTGTTTGGACCTCGCATATTCCAAGTCCAATATGCATTTGCTGCGCTTTCCGACTGATCAGTTGGTGTGTTCGGCTGCCAGTCTTCCAAAGTAAAAAGACATGCTAGCAGTTAATGTTCCGAATCCTGGATGATGTCGCCAAAAGTGTCAAGTTCACATCCATCCAGGTTCTTCCAACAAACAGTGTTGACGTACCTTGATCAGGACTATCGCGATTAGCACGGCAGTAGGATGTTTACGAAGATGCCATGACATATTGGTGATGACAGCACATCCCTCAGATGTTTTTTTTTTGATGGTGCTGTGCTACTTGTTGAAGTGGCTGAGCTTGGCTGTATAGTCGTCGATGGCTGTGCCGGTGGCATTTTCTGAGGTGCTGTGTGGCGAAGCTTTATGGCAACAGCGCGAGCAGCCAGCACGTTTTCTGACATGGTGTCCCATCTTGCGGTGCTGCTGCATTCCATAGCAGGAAAAGGAATATTTTCTCGACATCGCTGGTGATGGGTTTGCAGTGGCTTCATCTGGTAAGGAGGCATGGCCGTGCATGCAAGCAGTCCTGGCACCAAACATTTCGCGGTTAGAAGGCAGATCCTGCAGAGGTTGGGACGACTGCACGCACATTGCTGTGTTGTAGATTTGCGTTCGGTGACGACAGTTCGCGTGGCAGATTTCAATTGTGTGCAAGGCTGCTGAGTTAGTGGAGCTCCTGCAAGGGGGAAGTTGGTCAGCCCCTCAGCAACCCAAGCTGACACTCTGACTCCAGTGGTGCAGCGCAATTGGCGAGCTCTCAGGCGTGCTTGCAACAACATCAACGACTGTCTAGCAGAGTGTGTTAGCGCCTGAGCTCTTCGAAGGATTGCCAGGTCAGGACCTGATGCATCACACAGCTGGAGGTCTCCAGGTTAGACATTTGAAGGGATCTTTCGCCCCGAACTACGGAACTGTTGGGTCTGACCACAGGGATGCGGCCAAGCACCATGCAAAGTTCTCATGTTTCTGTTGAAATTCGGCTAATCGGCTAATCCTCCTGCAGCATCATCCACGACGCATCCCCCATATGCCGATACCCAACGGTCAGTTGTGGCTAGCGGAAGATCTGATTTGCTTGTCCTAATGTTGAGAACTGTGCATGCTAGTCTAGGGGGGCATGAGCTGCCTCAGAATCTTCAGGATATTACAGTATCATGTGATTACGGAAGATTCTATACAGGAGGAGCCGGCGCGACTTTGCAGCACAACAGCACACCTGGACCTCGTAGATGTGTCATGTCTTGTTGTTGGTCCGTTGTTGGTGTGCAGGTTGCCACAGGATGCAGCTGCAGCCGGTCAATTAATCCCATTGCTCGCGATGGCTTCTTAAGGACACTCAGAGCACGTGTTGTGGTGGAGTTGTTGCTGTTGCATTTGGAGGATGGCCGTGGATCATCTCCGCAGCAACGGCCTTGGCCAGGCCGAGGTCGCGCTTCTCCGTTTCGTTGATCCAAGGTCCAAGGTGTCAACTGCTTGCTTGCATCGAGTCTTGCGCAGCTGGTTGCTCCGGTCAGCTTGATACCTCGGTCTTGGAGCCAAACCCATGCAAACCAGCCTATTTCTAGATCCTTCTTGCAGCACGGCACAGCCAAACAGCGGTTTCAACAGGGGGTTCACATGGATGCAGCCGGAGCTGGATGCCTACTCGCGGCTCCTACCTGGCCAGCGAGTGATCTTGCAAGGCCTCTCTGCTGCAGAACTCAATGGGCTTACAGGGCGACTTGAATCTTTTCATGCTGATCGCGGCCGATGGGCAGTGTGCCTGGGCAACACGCGGAAACTTCTTAAGCCAGACAACTTGCAAGTAGTTAGCTGTGCCTTTCGGGGAAATGTTGTGACGGACATATTGTCCGAAGACCTTTTTTTCCGTGTGTGTCTTTTCCTTCCAGCACCAACACTGCTTGCGTTCAGTGGAACCTCGAAGATCACACGATACTATGTGGTAGGGAGCAGCGAGTGTTATCTGCTGTGGCGATCACTGTGCTACGAGATGCTTGGTGAGTGTTTGATCAGCCTACACATAACGGCTTGGGCTGATGGCCACACGGACGAGGTGCAGCAAGACAGGGGATTCTGGAAGGTTTTGTTCGTTTCAGCGTACGGGTGTCCACGGTTCTACTATGATCACCAGCTTCGCGAACGATGTATGCATGGGAGTGATTTTTTCAGAAAGGCACTCGTGCCCAAAGAAACACATCCCTATGAGGGTGGAATGATGATAGTTCACAGCGGGGGTTTTGAGAGACACAAGCGCGAGACACTGAGTGCCAGTGGCCATACAGCTTGTGCACTCGGAACCAGGGTTTACATGATTGGTGGCTGGCGACCCTGGGCCACAGAGGAGGACCTGCATGTTTGTGTGGTGGACTTTCAGGGCAGTTCCATCAAGGAGCCAGCGCTGGCCGACGACTCCGACCGCCCAGAACGTCGCCTCCGGCACTCCAGCTGCGTTGTACAGACGCCGTCGGGCGAAGAAGCTATTCTCGTTCTCGGTGGCTGCAACGATCGAACGCACGATCCCTGTGATGGGCTGCAAACGCTGCTACTCTTACAGACGGATCTGAGCGACACAAACAAACTTACATGGAAGAAGCTCTCTGCAGGTGGACAGATGCCCAAAGCTATTTGGCATCACACAGCCGATTCGTTTGCTTCTCGACGATGCGTGGTCGTCTTCGGTGGTGACATACCAACCCGAGATCCCGAGTTTACTTTTATTGGTGATCGGGCGTATGCGAATTACGTTTATGTTCTGACTATGGAGACACAGCAGTGGGCCCGTGTACAGACTGATGGGTATGTTCCCGGGTGGAGGTCTTTGCATGCCGCGGTGACCTTCACATCGTTCGAACACAACTGCGAGCAGCTTGTTATGGTGGGCGGTTGCGAGGACCGCGTTGAGATTTTCAATGCTGGCAAGCCTGCCAAGATGATTGCGTATGCCTTGAATCTGAGGACCATGAAGTGGAGGCGGGGCCCAGAGAGAAAAAAACAGAACGATGCTCGTGCAGTCTTCCTCCCAGCACCCCGGATGCGTTTTGCAGCACAGCGCTATGGGCGTCACCTGCTCGTGTATGGCGGTCATGGCAACGGCACCATTCCGGAAGACGAGGGGCTGCTGCATTTGAACTCAAACTCCTTGGTCTGGCAGAGAGCCACTGTGCTCAACGAGGCCTCGGAGTTCGGCGTTGTGCCGGCTGCCGCGCTGGCCGCCGGCTGTGTTATAGGTGGAGTGCAGCTGGGCTCTCGCGGGGCGCAGCCGGTGCCGAAGCTGGACATGCTCGTTCTCGCCGGTCCGAAACAGGAACAGGCCTCAATCCCGAGTGGCCCAAGCGGCTGAGGAAGCCGCGCCGGCGTTGTAAAACAGCTAGGGGGCTGGGTGGGGGGGTCAGGGGCTTGAAACATCATGTATCGTCACGGTTGGAACGCGCAGGTGTCCTATGCCTCCCTGGGGAGTGGGCTCTTGCGCTTCGACTTTTGCTTGTTGGAGCTCCTGCTTGCAGAAGGCGCAGCTCCGGTCGGTCTAGGTGCAGACAAAAGCTCTGCTAGAATCAGAAGCGAGGGCAATGCAATCGGATCTGCACAGGAGTGCCAGTATCAGCCGTTCACCTCGTGGACTCTCAATATGATCCGGATGCCAAGGTGCCAGACTTTTTGCGTTTTCGTTCTTTTGCGTCAACACACTGGGGCAGGGCTACCTGCGCCACCGCGTGGCACTGGCCCAGTTCGCTTCCTGGTTTACCGGCCGGGGCGTGGATGCTGCACCGCCTCGTTGCAGAAGCTTTGCCGTCTCAGACCCGTGGCCACTGCCAAAAAACCTGCCAGGTTTATGCGCACTACTCCCTTGAGAGATATGCCTTTGAGGCTCGGCGCTCTACTGTGGGGCCCTCGGCAAGAGACATGAGCATCTGAGTACGCGGTTCAGACGTGGAGTCCAGAGATGCGGAACGAAACGAAATCGAAGGTTAAGGGGACTCGGGTCCGAGCAGTTGGTCGCAAGAGGTGCTTCCTTCGCCAAGTTTGCGATGCCTGTTGGGACGGTACCACAACACGAGACACGACAGCGCCTTGCAAAGCATCAGCCCATTCCGGTAAGCTGTGTGACCGCCTACTCTGTGCCTATCGTCGCAGCAGGGCCAACGTCTCTGTATCAAACGACATCAGATGCTGTGAACAAAGAACCCACAAGCACATGCATCTGGATGAATCGCAGTGGAGTTTCACCTTCCAGGAAAGGATAAGTGTAGACCTTGTCGGCCGACTTTGCTAATCCAGCCCGAGGCACTGCCAGCAGCAGTGGTGCAGGTTGACTGCACAGAGCTCACAGCTGTGTTTGAAAAGGAGGCTGAACAGATCTTGGCGGATGATGCCTGCTTCAGCTTCTGACGTCAGCCAACAGGTGAAGCCAATGTTGGAAGAGGTGTTGCAGTACGGCGGCCTGTACTGCACCCTGACTTCACGAGAGGCCATCACGATTCTGTTGTAAGCCTCGCAGATGCCGTGTGCGCTAGTAGTAGTGGTCAGAGCAAGATCTGCAGCAGTGGGCTCAGTCTTAGGTCGACTAGTGACTGGTGGTGTTCTGATGCTGTCATTATTCTCGGTGTTTCCTTCAGGGCGCCTCTGGCGCAGGATCCCTGGGATCAACGAATGCTTGGGCAGAGGTTCTGGAAGTGCGGTTGTGCTCGTGCGGGGTGCTCCATGAGCCAGATGATCTCAGTTCAGAAGTCGTTTGGCATGCAAGAGCAATCTGGATCGCCGAAGTTTTGCCCAAGCCCTGACAAAGCTTTCTGAGCGCGTGCTCGAAATTCTCAATCGATCCTCAGGACAGGGCTTGCTCGGGTTCCGGAAGCCAAGCTCTGCATTGTTGACGCGAAACCATCGTGCCCTATGGTTCTGCAGGTTTCCAGCCAATGTTCTGTGGTGGTGAGGGGCGGTTCGTATGGGTGCGACATCATTTCAAACCCTAGGTTAGCGCAAATCATAATATTTTTTAATTTCAATGTTCAGGTGACGGTTTTAAAAATGCTTCAGATTTCGGGTTTAGTGTTGCCACCACTACAAGGTCCCAGAGTGCAAGGCAAGGCATTTTGGGCGTCGCGGATCTTCAAGGTTCCTCGGCTTCAGGGTCTCCGGGCTTTCGGTTTCTAGAACTCCATAGCCTGACACCTTGCAAAGAACAAGTTTGAGGCCTCCCAGTCCAACTGGCTTGCGGAGGCCCTTAAGCTCGAAGGGCGCACATGCGCTTTCAGGTTCCTGCGAGCTTAATCCGGCAATTCGATAGCGGCGACAACCATGTGATTTGAGCAAGATGAAGATGCAGCGCATTCTGCACCCTCCTGTCGGAGAAAAATGCCGGATTTGCAGAAGGATTCAACACTGGTACTTGCTTGCCACCAATGCTTAAGGCTCGACTTTGGGACCATGGACCCGAAACTGCAGTATGCAGTGCATCTGGGTTATTGGCTTGTTGAAAGCCGCATTATTTCGTTTCCATCACGACACAGGTTGGTGAGAACTAACCTCCTCTAACCCTCTTTTGCTATGATTCCGTCTTCGACCGAAGAAATGGCCAACAACGTCTGAAAGAGGCTGGCGTGATTCGATCGAGCACGAACGATAGCAACCAAAGCAGCAGCAAAATGTACATCAATGACGACGGCGGCAAGGAAAGTGACCCGATATTCCATCAGACTGCCAATGCAAGCGCCGTCCGAAGTGTCCGCATCAAATCTTGGTGTGCTTCGTTCCAGGATGGCGGACTCCTCTGGCACGGGTCGAGGCCAAGCTGCAGCTTCTGTCCGGAACCCGGATTCGTGCTGTAAGGCAAAACTGCTTGAATGCTTGGCACGTGTTCTTCAAACCCGCTCTTGCATTTCTTAGGTTGGTGGTTCCCGCACGGCCCTTGCTCGCCGCTCAACGACGAGGCCCAAAACTTCAATCTGACTTTGACCATGGATTCGGCAGCGCATTCTGGCACAGGTCCGGCGCCGCATCTGGAGGAGCCAACAGTGGCAAGAAGGTGCTGTGAGAGGGTATAGTGTTCCCGAGCCACTAGCTCGGTTCTGGGTTTGCCTCATGTTTGATGAGTGGCTTAGCAGCTCTTCAGCCGGAATTCGTGGAAGCATGAAACACAGGCGGGCGGCAGTGGAGGAATTCTCAAGTTCTACAGCGATGACACTCCTGGTCTCAAGGTCCTGAGCCTGTAGAGGCATGTGGCGGGGTGTGCTCGTTTGCTTCGCAGCTTGGAGGTGGGCCCCACCACTGTCCTGGTGCTGTCGCTGGTTTTCATGGCCATTGTGTGCCCCTGGACTTAAAGTGAGGTTATGTGTGAAATGAGCGTTCGTGGGCGAAGCGAATGCTGAGGCTCCTTGCACATTTTGGGCAAATTTCGAAGTGGCTAAAGGCACGGGACGTGGGCGGCCAAGCTGGTGTAGCTCGCCCATTGTGTGACCTCTGGCACGTCGCGAAATCTCAGGCTTCGTGGAACTGCGCCAAGATGGCTCGTCTGAGCCGAGTCAGTGGGATTCCCAGCGAGATCTTATGGGACACAGGGTGAGATCTAGTTTCTAAGCTTCCTTTACATCTGGCACACGAGAGCGAGAGCCAGCGCATTGGGAGTCCGAGCCAGAACGGCACAAAGGATGCCAGGCCGAGCCAGAGCCAGAGACTGGCTCAAGACAGCCTGTTTTGAGGAACCTTCCGCTGCGCCGTAGAAACCGCCCCAAAAAGGGAACGCTTGCACTTGGACGCTTCGATGTGCTTTGCGGCTCTCTGCCTATCTGCATCCTATTGCGAAGCTCTCCTGTGCCAGTTCTGGCGATTGCACCCGGACACTGGTCGCATGAAGCTGGAGTCATTGACCTGCTTCAGGCGGGGCACGTTGAATTGTCCGGGATGCTGCGTGAGCACCTTGCATCTCTAGGCCTGGTGATCGAAGCCCGAAGCTCGGAACGTGATTCACTTGCAGATATGTGCGAAGCCAGGGCTTCATTGCAGGCGGGACGCAGGTGGACGTCAATGAGCCCTTGCCTCGCGCGGTTGATCACTGACAGACTGCCGAGCCAACAAAGATATGTCGTCGTGACCCTTTGACAAACTGTCGAGTCTGCAAAGTGATGAACTGCGGCCGGAGCTTGGATGGCGCAGCTATTTGGCTGAATGCACGGTGCCCGTGCGATTCTAGCATTCCGGGGCTCTGACGATGGTGTGCCAGAGCCTCTTGCTGCACACGCGCAGGCCTCGGTTCAGCCCAGAACGAATCAATCTGCACCTGAAGCTGCCAAGCCCGAAGCCCACGCTTCAAGTCGGCATTCCAATCTCCCTCAGCCAACAGCCCGCTGTTGAAAGCTTAGGATCGCTAAATTATGATAAATAGTCACAAAGTTAGTGAGATAATCGGTGCATTTCCCTCTCTCTCCTCTCTCTCTCTCTCTCGCCTCTTTCCTGCTCTTTTTCTCCCCCTGGCTCTCGCCCTCGCGCTCGCGCTCGTGCTCTCTTTCCATTTCGATTGCATAAGTCCGAGCCGCGCGGCAACTCGCCAGTCCGCCAGAAAAACCTTTGTCGGTGTGGGGTCACAGGCTCACGGTTGGAGCAGGGCTACGTCTCACCTTGTTTGTTGCCGAAGCGTAAGCAGGCCGGCCAATGCAGGCTTGCTACCGGGGCTCGTCCTCAGTGAAAGCGCTGCCCAGCTGACTCACCAGTTGCGGCACCTCTGCAGCGGCACCCAGGTGCCGCTGTCCCTGCCCCACTCCATGGCGACTCGGAGCAAGGTGTCCAGCTCCCGAAGGGATCCCAATTTGGGCAGTTTTCACTGCCTCTGTTGCCCTCTGGATGCTGGCTTCTTCTTGGCCGCCTCTCTGTTCTTGCCCTCCCTGCGCTTTAGCCATCACCTTCTTCAGGATCTTCATGAGAGTGGTCCCCCCGTGACTCAGGCTGAGAGGCTACACCGGGTTGACTTTGCATAAAGAGCTGTTGGGCGGTTACCTCCGGCCCAGACCCGGGTCCAGCAATGTCCAGCACGCAAGCTCTGCCAACAGCTGTGCAGACCTCACACTATGTATTCTGGGGTCCCACCTGCTCGGCATCAACACCCCGCCTGAATTCTTGGCCTCGGCCGGGATGCAACATTTCTCCTTGAAAGACTCCTGGCAGCTTGATGGGCCCCCCGCTTCTTGAGGCTGCGGACTTCTCCTCGATAGGTGATAAGCGGGACAGGGTAGCAAAATGTGCTGTATATACGTTTGAATGTTGGTGAGGGTTCTTGCGACAGATTACACAGGGGATGAGGGATCCGGGTAGTTGAGGGTAAGGGTTTAAGGTTTAGGGTTTGCTGCAGGGTCTAGAGGCTAGGGTTTAGGGGTTTGGGACGGCTGTGAGGTTTGGCTGGCTTGGGTGTAAAGTATAAGGAACAGAGGTTCGGAGGAAGCAGGATATCAACATGTCGCCTTATCTGCGAACAATATACAGCGATGTCCGCATATCGGCATTGGCGTATTGGCGTATTACCTACCAGTGTGGACGTGAATTGCCACTATTCTGATGCCAATGCACCGCGCAATTCATGTCTGGGTATATTCGTAAAGAGACACAAATGGAGATCGACTTTGGATGACCACAGAAGCCACATGTTGAAGATGGGCTACAGAAGCAATAATCACCCTGTGTTGACACGCATATGTCAGCGCGCGCATGCTCATCTGTACCTTTGTTAATTCATGCCTAAGCCTACATACACATATACATACATACATACATGCAGATACATACATACATGCGTATACACACATGTCTATATGTATACATTTCTATATACATGTATGAGAGAGGCGCCTCTAGGGTCTATTTGACGCCCTGTTGCCTCCTTATACACTTAATGAGAATGTAAATAAATGAAATAATTGAAATAATTGAAATCGGAAACCCAGGATTTCAATTATTTCAATTCGGGGGG